GCTTTCTCTAAGTCTACTGACAACAACACACAACAACCTCCCGTACCAACAGTCTTCCTTATATTGTCAGTCAATCCAACGAGAAGAGATGCAGTGCCGCGATTACTCCTAAACCCATACTGGCTCTCATGTAATAGAGAATTTTCACCAATATAAACTAGCATTTGATCTTTCATGACATACTCAACCATTTTAGAAAGAATCGGCATTATAGATATAGGCCTATATTCACTAGAATCACCATTCTTTTTTTGAATTGGCACTATTTTTGCAATTTTCCACATCTCTGGAAACACAGACATTGTTAACATAGAATTGACAACGTGCAACAAAAATTGACCAACAAGGGGGAAAACAAGTTTTAGAAATTTTAGCTGAAATCCATCATAACCAACTGCCGTGGACTTGATTTTATTGAAAGCATCAACAATCTCAGCATAATCAATTGCACGAAAGGAAAAACCATCAAAAGCATCAACAGGAATACAAGAAACATCAAAAACATCTACGGATTGATTCGAAACAAAAGCTGAATTCAGAGCCTCAACATCAACATTCCCGACTTCTCTGTCATCAGTACACAAACCGTTTTTATTTAAAATTGACCACACTTCCTTTGTGGATTTATTAGCAAACATATCCCTATGAGCAATAAATTTTAGTTTTCTTATAGTTTTTTTGGCTCGGTTACGACAGCGACAAAACAATTTCCAATTTTCAACACTTTTGTCCCGAAGATAGGACCTATAAGAAATGTCACGAAGAGACAAGTGATACCGAATTTCAGCAGACTTAAACCAGTCATCTTTATTAATTTTACAAAATCTCCTTTTGACAGGAACTACACTATACAAGTGCCGAAGACCACAGTTCAATATATCAAGCTGGGCATCAACATCTGCCACAGAATAAAGCTCACCAAAGTTGTATGTATTAAAGGCGCTGGAAAGCGCCACAGGATCAACAGAACTGAAATCTGCATATTCATAAAAACTCTGCACACAAAAACTGGGAACATTAATTGATAGAAAGATGAACGAGTGATCAGAAATACCAGGGCACAAAAACTGATTTGAACATGCTACCAAACTCAGACACGACACAAAAAAATAATCCAACAAAGAAGTAGAGGTATGCGCAATATCGACGTGTGTGGGCATTGAGTTGTGGACAACAGATAAATTTAATCTGCTACAAATTTCCCTTACAACTAAACTTCGCTGCAGATCAAACATATTATTATTGAAATCTCCCATAATAATAACATTTGAGTACCTAACAACAAGATCAGAAATTTCATTTTCAAAAGCCACAATATCGCCATGTGGCAAATAAACCACACCAACAAGAAACACACAATTGCTTACAATTACCTCGCAGAAAATATATTCAACAACTCCATAAGAACTTCCTCTGCACACAAATTTATGTTTAATATTCTGAGAAACATACATTACAACACCACCTCCTCTATTACAAGGACGATCACTCCTATAACAAAAATAACTTGGTATTTGTATAGCTTCTGTGGAAACAATAGGCTTTAACCAAGTTTCTGTCACGCCAAAAATGCCAAGATTATTACCCTCTAAAATATTTCTCAATTCATGGATTTTAAAAGTATTCTTACTCAAATTATAACTTCTGAGATTTACATGACCTACATTAAGATTGTTTTTAAAATTGCATAACTGACTTCTAAGAAAACTATTATCGCTAACAATATAACCTAAACTAGTTGAAAAATTCATTACCTGACTGTATAATTTGAATGAGCGTAAGAAACAAAATTAAATCCAGGAAAAAAAATAAAATTAATAAATAATAAATAAATAATTCAACTACTCACACAACCTTCACTTATGAACTACCAACAATACTATCTGCACTTAACCGTGAAACAGCAGACGAATCCAAACCGCATGAGGCAGCACTAGCAACATTAGCTACACCAGCAGAGACATCATCACCATTATCATTCAACATACTAGTGCACTGATTTATATCAAGCTCACCCTCTCTTCCATCACGGAAGACAACCAACGCTTTAGGGTTATCCTCACTCTTCAGCTTGAACTTTTTGATTTTATTATTTCTCCACAACTTGCGACAGAGATACATTAATTTTGAAGCTGTACGATTATGATGGTCATTCAGGTACACTCTACTTCTTACAGCCACACCAGTGATATCACCAAGCATTAGAGGATTACGTCGCTTTTGGTAACTAGCCATTAAACTGTCTCTAACGAGAATGGAATTAAACTTAACCAGCACGGATTTACCCTTTGAGATGTAGCAGCAATGGTTTATGTCGCCAGGGTGCAAATCAATACCGTATATAGCTGCGATTTTTATTATCGGGTCTCTCAATCTCTTGATCCCATCAGGCAAACCACTGACAATTATGTTTGACCTATTGAGACGCCTAGTTAGTATATCGGCTTCAATTACAGACTCTTGCTTAGTCTGCTCGAAAATCTTAATTGCAGCCTGGCAACTCCGCACTGATTCCTCCATTATTTGAAATCTACTGTCAACCTCTGAACGAATCGTCTTGACCACATCCTTAATTTTCAGCATAAAGCTTTCAAATTGCTTCTCCAAACATAGCTTATATAGATCAAATTCTTGCCTCAGAGTTTCATAAACATCCTCATTACCGCTTTGTGTATCAGTACCTGCATGACTAGAAGCAGTAGCATCAACGCTATTATCAGTCTTCTTCTTAACACAGGTTGGGCATTTGAATAAAAACATCATTGTTTTTCTGTTCCTGTATAAGAAACTGTGTTGCTCTTTAGTCACATTAACACAGTTAATATGAAAAAACATTCCACAGATACAACATCCAACACTATTTTGGTTGTTCTTGACAACACTACTACAAGTTGGGCACGTATATGTTTTTGTTGTAGTTGGCATGGTTTCAGGATTGGATTTAGATAACGTTCCAGATATATTATCGAACACAGATGACAACCGCAACGACATCAGCTGCAACACAACAAGGGGGATCAGCTACAGCAACACAGCAACAAAGCAATTGAAACGATAAACCACTATAGCAGTCACCAACTACTCCACTTGCTTGTAAACAAATTACACCAACGCAAAGGGTACATAGCTCAATTTATTCAATATCAATCAGTATAAATACAGCATTTGTTCCAGAGACACTGCGCGGCAATTTGATGTTGAATTCTTCTTCTTCTTCCAATCAGCTATTGTTTTATTTCATTTACAATTTGGTATTGTAAATCACTCCTCCAACACACAACTGATGGTCGCAATAAAATTAATTTATTAACGCAAAAAACCACTTAATTTGCACTGCTATGCAAAAATTATTTATTAAATTTTATAATTTCCCGGGAGCAAAAATATTTACTGACACATCCTATAGGGCTCGCAAATTCGTTTTTTTCAAATGTGCTCGCAAAAAATTTTTCAAAATTTTTTTAATGGAATTTTAAAAGAATTTTGTAATTTCCCATATATGCATAGAAAATAGATATTAGTTCGGAGGTATGATTACTTTTGGTGCTAAAACTAGGCATCAGCTCGGAATTTTGGACGTTTATCTATCCATGGTATGGCATTACTTACTGCGATAATTTCAGTAAAATCTATTCAGCGGTTTTTGTGTCTACAACAATGCAATGTGAAGTATATTTCCCCCATTGTACCACGCTAAATTGTATAGATATGATGTTTATTTGTAACCAAGTTACTCAGACAAATTCTGTAGGGGAATCTGTAACCCTTCTTAAGATATAAGCTTAGAGAATGAATAATACTTCGGAGATATAATTACTTTCGATGCCATAACTCCACATCCACGCGGAATTTTAGAAGTTTATATAGCCTATGTTATTTCCCTCGGATGGCATGACATGCGGTGAAAATCTCAGTAAAATCTCTTTAACGGTTTTGAGTCTAGAAACCAAACATTTTTTATTTCCTACATGTAAATTATTTAAGTGCAAAGGGGAGTGCGTTTATCCTAATCATACCACGCCCATTTTTGTATGAATGATGTGTATTTATACCTACATTATTCAGACAAATTTTGAAGATGGTATCTGTAACCTATGTTACTTTCAGGCCATGTCATGACATACAGTGTAAATCTCATTCGGCGGTTTTTGCGTCTATTGGTAACATACAAACAAAGAATTTTTTTTCTATTTTATATATAGATGATATAAGACTATTGTTGTAAAATTATGAATTATAGTAGCATCATTTGTGTCCCAAAAGCCTGGACCAAAGTGGATGTGAACAGAATGGAAATGAGTATCACTAACATTTTGCTCTGTAGCATGTTGCCGTACCATGAAGTTTTTTTAATAGATCAATTCATTTTAATTCCTTTCAAAAAAGAACTAAATTATATTGCTGGTATTCTATGGAACATTCGACAGTCCTCTAATATCTTTTACGACTGTTCGATATTCCGTACAGTAGAACTTTCAGGATCTCAATAACTTAAACTGAATATTTTTCGTTATCTTTTTATATTTCACATCTAATATTAAGCTCTAAAAGAGACAACAAAAATTCAGGGATTACCCTGTAATTGTGGATTTAAAATTTACTTATAGAAAGATCTTAAAGATTCATTGAACAAATTACAATTACATTTCTATATTAATTGTAAAATTTTACTTTTTACATTATTCCAGATTGTGAAGATATAAAAACCTCGTTGGAACTTACAAAGAAGGAAATTGAACTTATCGTAGCAATATTAGAAACCGGACAAAATGATATTACTATTGTGCTCTGAAAATATTCTCTGAAATAATTAACAAATTCTAAAATTATCCATGGTATGACGCAATCAACCACAATACTCTATTTATATATAATGTAATATATGTTTAATCATCATTTATTGTTGTCAGAAATATTACATTTTAATATCAAAAAATCGGTTGTTTACATATTTACAGTCAAATAGATGATATTTATGTTAGATTCATAATAACTACTCTACATATATGGTTATTCATCTTCTCCACCTGGCAAATGGTCACTTGACATTGAAGCAATTATACTTTGAGCTGTGTCCTTTCCAATCCAAATAATACACATAACACCGATCTCTAATAAGCCAACAAACATACCGGCCACAACATCAAGAATATAATGACGTTGAATTATGATACGGGACAAACAGACAGCACAGCACCAAGCCATAAGTGGCATCCACCAAATCACTGAAATGGGACTTAACAATATAAAGAATAAAGCAACGAAAACTGCTCTCGAGGCATGACCAGACGGAAAGCTAAATTTATCAGGTCCAAGTTGCATCATGTCATTGCAGGCCGTTGGTCGTCTACGTCTGAATGCTGCCTTCATTACAGCGATCACTACGATATCGAAAATCAGGCCCACAAGCATATTCAATTGAGATTCATAGAGATCCTTGTCACTTAGCAGCCAAATAAGACCAATCCAAGATGCCAACCAGACAATGCCATTGCAGGAGATCTCTAGGGCCTTACAGTGTGTCTTCAACGATTTCAGAGTCGTTTGACTAAGCAAAAAGCCGACAAATTTCTTGGTCAACTTCTCATCGTATTGCAATATCGTTTCTACGATTTGTGGCTTTTGTCTTTTGGCCATTGTCACTGGACTTTTACTTAAAACTTAAAAATAAATTAATAATGACAGTAATGCTATGAATGACAATATCCGGACATTGATAAATATAGTCTAATCGACTTTTAGACGAGTAGATTTTAAAGAAATCGATTTTATGAGTAATTCGATAAATCGATTAAAGAGAAATACAGTCAAAAGCGGATAAATGAAATTTTGACATTATGAGTCCATACACAATTGTATGTTCCCGTACAGCAAGATTCTACAACTTTTTGTTATTTTTCCCATATCATAAAGACAAAATTTTTATAGCGGTAAAAAGTAGATTCTCGCAATACGTTAACACGACACAGTTTTACGTGTTAATCTTACAAGAACGAATTTATAAAGCCGGTAAAAGTTATAATTTTCGTTTATTTTAAAATATTTTCTTTGATCCTTTGGTCGGGGTTTTAAATATTCCTCCTACAATTCGAGCTTAAGTAAGGGGACCATACGCCCTCTTTTTTAGAGGATAATCATCATTTTAACTGGCCATCATCTATAAAATGACATGCATTTCTATCTGTCATCTATTTCTATGTTATTTTAAGCCATCTATATTTTTGAAACATTGATAATTATTTGAATAGAAATTGTCTTACAGTGCTTGTACAGTTCAAACTCTTACTGAACTCCAAAAATGTTTACATACTTTCTTATAGTCATATTTATGCTTGCACAAAAATATATAGATGTTGAGTTTTCAGAACCTATAAGTATATCTAACAGCCCTACCTAAAATTCAACTAGCTCGTTCGACGTTTTTCACTACAAAAGTAGAACACATGTATTTATATGAATGTTACCGAAATACTTCGAGCGTAGAAAATTTAAAGTTAAAAATTTTCAACTTTGACAGAACGTATTTTTTGTTTTTTTTCTTTTGTTGAAAATAAAAACAAAACATTCAGAAAATATGAAATTTCGAATGTGAACGTAAAATATTTGGATTACTTCAATAAATTTTCGATTTTGTTTTGCGTTTTCTATTATTCGCTTGAAGATATGGATTCGATGTATTTGGGTAATACGCCCGTACAAAAAATTTTGCAAAAGTGGGGAAGTTGAATTTTTCTGTACGCCCCGTCGAATTTTAGGTAACGTTGTAAGTCTATATTTTTATATAAATATTTTCTTTTCCGGTATTAAAAAAGTGGTAAAGCTTTTCAAATGTATAAAAGGAAAATCGAAATCAATTTTGATTAGTACAAGATTGTCGCAGGTTCCTGAACAAAGCAATATATATTTATTTTATTATTATTATTTTCTAAGACGATCGAAACTCTATTCGAACGAATTATAGCCACTTCAATTCCAATCAGATTTGGTTTCTGTAACAACTACAGTATAAAAATTTGTCAAATAGAAATGTATGAGCATTTGTAATTGTTTAATAAATTTTGGATTATAATTCGCGTCTTTACAATCGTTTCGAAAGCTATGGAGCAAGTGAATGATTTTGACATTTTGATTCATAGTCCAATTTGTGAGAAAAGGACTACCTTTACGTGTTCTTTCGATAAATCTTTCGTTCGAATACATTTTCGTCTAGAGAGTGAATAAAACCCAATTTGATTTTTTTTCGAATGGAAGCAAAAAAACTTTTCGTCTTATTGAAACAGGCTGTAATTTTTTTATTTGGAGCACATCTATCAACTTGAAATAATATTAAAAAAATCCTTAAATTTTATGCATATTTTCAATAAATTAAACAAAATATATTTTCTAAAGCTGAACATTGCTCACAAGATTTAACCATGGTTGTTACAACTTATATTTATAAGTTTTAGTGGCAGAGAATTTTTGCCTCTGAACACATGATATGCGTACATTTCGAAGGAAGATATTTTCATTTAAATTTTGGAAGATGAATACTGTCAAAGGAAAATTAATGAAAAATTGGATACATGTGACTGCATGAGACTATCTTGTATTATTATGCCATGGTTCTGTTTGTAGAAATTGTTTTCAAAAATTTTTAAAATAAATGTAATTAAACCTTTACATTTTGAAGTTAAATACCGCGGTTTCATAATAGACAAGAGTTTAAATTTCAATATATATATTTTATTTGTAAAAAGATTACGGCAATAAATATCTATAATACGATTATAAAACCACACTTCGAATATGGATTCACAATTATCTACACCTGCTGCAATGAACAACAAATCAATAGACTTCAGAAACTTCAGAACAAAGCAATGCGATCAATATTGAAATGTAATATATTTGCACACAAATGGGGGAAATGCTGAACGCGATAAAATTGTTGTTTATATACATTATACTCAAATATTAAAACTAAATACACTAAAATAAAAATTGGAAAGGCAACAGAATATTTGAAAGAACAAATTGAGTTTGTAAAAGATGCTCAACCATGTAATCTGAGGAATTCATATGATTTCAGAATCCACCGTGTACAAACCACAGCGATGCAATATAAACTATATTTTACAGAGGATTGCCTTATGATATTAAAGAATAAATTAATATAATACAATTCTAATTAGAAATGAATATGCAAATTAGGAACTTGTATTAGGAAATTTTGTAAAGTATTGAATTGTACTAATAAAACTGAATAATGGTAATAATAATTTTATTTAAATTTTACCAACTCTTGAGTTCAGGAAAAGACCTCAAAAAGTGATGACAATTTAAAGGAAAAATCGAAAAAAATGTCTTTAGTCGAAGATTCTTCCAGGTCCGGGAACATAATCTACTATTTTTCGAAAACTCGAATATGTTTTAATAGTTTTTGTATTCCTATTTTTCAAATACGCAGTATACTAGATCCATCATCGTTCTCTATAACCGGATATAAAGTTTGTTATACATGTAATCAAATAATTCATCTGTAGAACACTAAAATAAACAGATGTGCCTTTGGTTCATAGCCTAAAATGTTGTTATAGACCCCTAATTCGGAATAAGCTTATTTCGTTTTGATTACCAATTCTAAACAAATATTTTGTAGTATTTTCATTGTGCTGCTCATTCGTAACACAAATGTTCCATGTCACAAATTTGGTCACAATTACTAGTCAAATATGTCGGAAAAATTTAAATTGATTGATCATGAAACTTTTGAAAATATACATCAATCCACTAGTTCTGCAACAACTCGGGTCACTAAAATTCGGAATGCAAAATACAAACGTATGACCAGTAGCATTGGCTTTAATTTGTTGGAATTTGTGAAACCGAAGGCAAATAGTAAGGGCACCAAGAATCGCGGGAAACTGAGCAGCCCAAAGAGGGTTGTGGATGTGCGCTCCAGACCATCCTTTAAGAAAAAGGGAAAACAGCGTGAGAATGGTCGCAAAAAGAAAATAAATCGTCTAAAGAAATCTATTCTAAGATATCGGCAATTGAAACGAAACCAACAGCAAACGAAGGAAATGTTGGAGGCACAACATAAAACTGAACTTGTAGAACAATTGCAAAAAGAAACAGAAATAGTAAATCAATTACAAAGTCTTACAATAGTTTCAGAAAACCAGCAATCCAAAAAATTGAGTGAAGTATCGAAGCGGATACATTCTAACCGTTTTAGAGAGTAGGTGGTTGGTTAATGAAACAAATAACTTTTTTTATTTATTTTTCTATTTTTCAAGTTATTGTGAAAATTGTACAACACCGATTTTGGAAAAACACACCGAACATTTATTACGGGAGTTAAATCGTTTTCAAAGAAGAGCATATGCCCAGAATCAAATAAAGGCAAAAGCTCATCGCCGTTTCGTTGTGGGCTTTAGAGAGGTACAAAATTTTCTATGCATCAGTAAAGTCAAGTTAGTGGTCATAGCAACAGATTGTGAACGTTGTGAAGGAGAGGGTATGTTATTACAAAATTTTATTTTTTAACGTCTGTTCAATAACATTTTTTTTATTTCTAGTTGGTTTGGATGAAACAATCTCAGCCATCAAAAAACAATGCCAAGATCAACAAGTTCCCATCGTATTTGCATTTCAACGACGACAATTGGCATACATTTTGTATAAAAAAGCATCAATCAGTTGTATAGGAATATTGGATTACGATGGTATGCGTGATACTTTTCAAGAAGTAATGATTAACTTGCATGAAGCAAGAAAACAATATCAACTTTTGATGAAACACAATTAAATAAATAAGAATTACATTCCAAATGAATGGTTAACAAATATATTTTATTTGTAACACAAATACCAGATTTCTATAATAGTCGATACCATTTTCTGATCAGAGTACATCGATGAAAATAACTTCCAATAGCCCATCATCAGCATAAGATTGAACCATAACAGAGTAGGCCGAACCTTGAATGCCTGCTATTTATTTTATATGCAACAACAATTGTTATAATTTCTTCCAACCACCTTTTCAGACATTTTTCCATTATAGCGTATTTCGATTTCGAAATTTGCGATTAATTGTAATTCGTTCGAAATTTATCAAAGAAATATTGGGCTAGTTTTGCTACAAATCAAATACCCTCTTACCCCGTATTATAAATTATATTAAAATGGAAACATGTTACGGTTATGTCGTTTCACGATCGCTAATATATGGATTATTTATTATATTATTATAAATACGAGACCACTTATTTTTTCTACATAATTACAAACTACAATTTCAAATTACGTTGTACATCTAAACTCGTATCTTTGAAGGCACGTAAATGTTCAAATATTACTTTCCGTTCGTTTTCGAATAGCTCCCAATAATGCAAATATTGGCCAATATGTTGTGTCAGTAGATTCTTAGCAAAACGCCAACAAGACTGAGTATTGAGAGTATTTAAAACGGGGCTCTGACATAATGTTACAGTAGCTTTGATTTGATCTTCAGCTGGGAGCTGTTTCAAAATGAAACCGAAAACATTTCGAAAATCTGGTTTCAAATGTGAAGGAAAGAGTCGTGAATCGCCATATCGATTCTTCGGAAATACCAAGAGAGCAGGCAATGATGCCATATTAAACTGCCACGGCAAGTCGTTTAAGTGTGCATTAATCCTTGCAAATTGCAATTCTGGGCAACTGTAACGCAAAGCTCCTGCTATTTGTATAAACGTATGCTGTAAACTGCCACAAAGTGCACATTCCGGTGTATGTATAAGTAGAACAAGTGTTTGATTATGAACATATTGTAAATTATTAAGCAGCATTAAACGATTAAGTGATAGCACTTCGAAAATATTGCTGTCTTTCTCCTCATTCATAGTTTGTGTTTTTAGTCTCGATATTAAGAAATTGATATTTTCACTTTTATATCTTGGCAATAGATTATATTGGTAAAATTGTTGAATATATTCCTTCAGATTGTCCATATCAAAATCATGCGTCAATGGGAAAATACCTTCTTGTCGAACATCAACAATAAAAGCAGTAGCCATGCTATATTTGTTACGTTCAATATCCAAATTTTCCAAATAATCTCTGTATTTATCGGTATCCAATAAAACAACCGATAAGGTGCGATTGCTGTTGTAAAAATTTTTATCAGTATCAACTATGCTTTGTAAATATTTCGCAGTGATTATTTGTAATTCATTTGAAGTTCTCGGATCACTATTGAGGCATTTGGTTGTGTGATGGAATTCTAACAATTCATGAATATCCGAATTTACAATTTGTTTGTTGGGATATGCCAAGTGGCTTATTAGGTTAGTTAAATACATATTAATATCATAATAATTGGCAAGATTTTCAGTCAGTACCTCTTTAATGTTACAATAGCAATTCTTGTCATCCATGGAAATGTCCAGCATTTTTTCATATATCTGTTGTATATTATTTTCTTTGGCTTCCTTCAGTTTTGTAACTCTTAGACACTTTGACCTACTGACATTACAATTGGATCTGGATATTGGTTGTACGTACTGTTCCATATAGCCGTAGAAATTAAAGGCGTCATTAACAAATATAGCCAAAACTGAATTCTCCTGTAGTTTCTGGGCAATTGCAATGGGTGTGGAATAGCCATGTAAATTAATCAAATCCAACTTTAGCTCCTTATGTAGCCATTGCAAAATATGACTTGCATTCCATGAATAATCTCCAATTTCTCGGAATTTCTTCGTGTCTGAAGAACCCATATAAACAATATCAGGAATGCGTTCATATGCCAATAGTCCTTTGGCTTTGCTAACATTTTCTACGAAGTCGACTCCAAATACATAGGTTCTAAGGGGATCACTTTCCAACCACTTCACTGATGCCATTAGATACTGTTTGTATTCCATGCAATTTGGCGATTCAAATACACCCATTATAAGGGCATCGGACTTTAGATGTGCTTGCTGCAAGGATTCGTTTGTTGGAAATCTCTTCAGCGGCTGCAATAGGTTATCAATAAAGTTTTGCATTCCTCTGAATGACCACAAACCATGATATTGAATTTGCAGTTGACCTCTACGGCCATAATACGCCATTAACGTTGGCCACTTATTCGGACCAGATCCCACACCTGGCCCCAATACTCGGCTGCAATTGCACGCTAAATGCCAGCAATCAACCGAAGAGAAGAATATCTTATCACCATAGTACACTGCCACATCATTGTACTCCTTCAATGCCAGCAGGCTATCACCACTCCATCGAGTATAGTAGAAAATCAAAGATATTTCATTCTGCTGCGTATGTTGTCGAATCCGAGCAACATCCAATCCTGGACATTTGGCTACTGTATATAAATTACCATTTGTTATGGTTGCATTTGCAATAATTAATAATATAATAAACACACTCATCAGCCGGCTCATTATTATTGAAAAAAAAAACAACTGACGTTATAGGAACAAAAAAAAACAACAACTACGTTGTTGAAAAATCGATTAATCGATAGACGTCTACAGTTAGTTCCGCATTTAAACCACTGCTCAACATTTCAGTTATTTGAAAAAAAGTTGCGAGACATTTCTATTGACAACTTAACAAGGTTTTGGACCGGAGGAAACAAGCAAAAATAAAGAAATATGGAAGAAAATATCCTAAATAGAAGTTTTAAATACTCTTAAAGTTATATTTTCGCTCTTTTTATTTCGAAATATGGTCTGTTCCAGAATCTGCAAGAATGTACAATGTTTTACTACGATAACAATTTTTGCTTTATGTTATCGGAAAAAATAGTAAAAAGTAGCAGTACGGGAACAGACCAATACCTTGTGACTAATTCATTACTTGGTCTGTTCCCGTACTAAAATTTATCCTCTAATTTATACTACTTTTTATACCCTCAGCCTTATGGTTAATGAGGGTATATACACTTTGATACTCCGAAAATGTGCCTTATCGAAATGTTGGGTTTAGACCCCCTTCTTTGGACCAAATCCGTTTCAGACAATTTGCAGTCGATTTTCAAATGTCCGTCTGTCTGTCTGCCCGGCTGGTGCGCACGATAACTCTCGAAGGGAGTAACCGATTTAATCGAAACTTTGCACATCTTATCAGTCCACTTCTTCTGGTATCTCCCCGCCAAAATGGTAAAAATTTAGCAAAAAAAAAAAAAATATATATATATATATATAATATATCATGAACCAAACGCACAGCCACGGACTATTCTGTACAATTAAAATATAAAATCACGGGTCAAAATCATACATCCCAATTTGTGGTATATCCCCGCCAAAATGGTAAATTAAAAAAAAAAAAAAAAAAATTATAATATCATGCGAACGGACTTAGCACAGCCATTCCAAAGATTTGACCCATTGGTCCACTCGTTGTAGAGCCTACAATTGTTTTTAACTTTTTTAAATAATCATCTCATGAATCAGAATATCGATCGATCCATCCCGAACAAGCTAATCTGGACAATTAAAATATAAAATCACGGGTCAAAATCATACATCCCAATTTGTGGTTGTGACAAGTCAGTCAGTAGCAGTCGAATGAGCTGTATATAAATTTTATAATGGAAAAAATTATTAATTTAATATATGAACGGAAATAAGATTGAAAAAGGATACCGGAGATAGTTAATGAATGTCGGTGATCCTTGACGACCGATGGAATGACGTCATGAAACCATCCGAATTCCTGACGGATGTTTCGCGAAAGTGATGGATGTTTTCGCAAGCCAAACTATAAAAAAATTGGATATTGTTCTGCCTTCGACAGAAACATTAAGCTTAAAATTAACTTCTCCATTTCAGGCGAAATTTAAAACAAGGTTGTAGCAAAACTATTTGCACGAAGTTTTCTATTGATGTTATTTCATGATTTTTGTTATAAATTGTCTTTTCAAAAGTTAATGGATTCGAAATCTGTTTTAAAAAAATTTTAAAACAGAGAAAGTGCAATTAAACTGCTTTTAGATAAACACAATCTTTTTAAATGTTTCTATTTTTTTTTTTTTTTTTTTTATATTTTAAAGGTCACGTTTTTTATTAAATACTTTTAAACTGAAGGATATGTAAAGATTTATTTGAAACCAATATAAATCCATTTAAAGTCTTTAGAAAAAATACATATTTGCAGGACAGTAGTAATGAAATATGTAAATAATTTGAATCTGTGGCTACAACATTTTTGTGGGGATATTATGTATGGGAAAAAAACAAAAATATTACTGTCATCATTATTATTACTTTTTTATTGCTATATATTAACAAACTAAAATTATCACAATATACAATAAATATTTTTTCTTTTTTGATTTGCTCGATCGATATGTGCCACATTCGTTAGCAAATCAAAATTACAAAGCATCGATAACCAGAGTACTTAAATAACTAAAAATAAATATAATATACTAATGCCTAAGTTAAGAAAGAGAATCACAATCACAAACTGAAGAAAAAAGAAAAGAAAATATTGACAATCACAATCCATTAACATCTTCCTCCTCTATTCAATTATAATTCGACTAAATAATAATAACCACCACAAACATCACAATTGCGTTTAGAACCGCTCTCCGTATCCGATGACGACGACGATGATAATGGCGGTATCGGATTCAATGACTGGAAATATTCTGCGACACCCTGTATTAGTTCATCCCTCTTATTATCCAAATATTCATAGCTCAAATTCGTATAGTTTTTCACCGCAAACGTAAACATTTTAAATAGGATCATTTCCGTTGTTAGGAATGTGTTCTGCTGTTCGTCGATAACATCGACGCAGGTATTGACAAATAGACGCGTTTGATTGAATATCAGTTGTATAACTGCCTCTGAAAAATAAATGCCCATTCCATTGAGGACATCAATGAGATTGTTCGAATTTGCAATATGTTTGACAAACTTCGAACCATAGACTTTGGCCAACTCAATAAAATTAAGTTGCGTTATCTCTTTATTTGTTACTTCAACTGCTAGACCAGGTGACATTTCAAGAACCACTGTACCAATAGCTGAGATTGTTGTTAGGAAACCAGTTGGTGTCAGATTTTCACAAATGGTATGCATTGTGCGTAAAATATCTTTGTATGGTATATCATTGACCAGACGTAAGAGATCAAACTTATTGCCGTTTTGTGTTGTAAAACGGATAGCTTCTTCTGCAACTAATGAAAGACCAGCTCTGAAAAAATTATGAATAAGATATGTATAATATTAAAATAGAGTACAGAATAAATGGTAATCATCTAAATATTTAAACATTATTTTTATTATGCATTTTTCGAGAAAATTATTTTGTTACATTTTAGAATTTTAAATATTTTTTTAATGCTCGGTACTTACTTAATATTAGTTTGCAACAAGCTTCGCAATGAATTTCCACCAATATTTCCCAACTGTGATGTTATTACCATATTGTTTACGGAATTTGTTAATAACAATAATGAAGAACCGAATGCCATAAGATCGCTAAATTGTAGATCAGCTTCATCTCTGAAATAACGCTAAAAATAGAAAAAAAATATTATAGATTTTTTTTGGAGTAGTTCAAATTTAATTAAAATTTTTAATGTACGTATGTATGTTTAATTTTTTTTATATTTGTGATACAAATTATTTAGATAAAAACACAACTCATTTTTATATATAATAATTTTCCATTCCATTCCTACTGGAGTAGTCATAATCCAATTAATCAAATTTTTTTAATCATAACCTATAATAATCAAAAACTTTTTTTGTAATTTAATCGGTATAATATTCTTTAGTAGTTCAATATCCCTCCCTTTTACATTTAAAATACGATAAAATTTATATTTAATTGTGAAATGTAGCTTACAGCCTTAAGGTCGAAAGACTGGGCACTATGAAATATATAAATAAAAAAATTTATGGGAAAATGAGAATAATGTTATTCATCTTACCGTGAATATGTCATAGGTTGTCAAAATAAATTTGGTACAATTTATTAATGTTGCTGCGCTATTTACCGCCTGAATTGACATGTTTGCTGTCTAAAAAAGAAACAGTAGTTAATAAGGGCGGAATTTCTCAGGCTAAGGAAATTTCTCAGTTCAGTATGTGGGATTTTAGGTAACGGTATAAGACGTACGTTTTGGTTTCCTCCCAAAAGATTGGTCTGACAAATAATATTGGGAGTTTTTCATTTTGGGGATTTTTGTTAACAATACTTACAAAAGAAAGTGCTCCACCATTCGGAACAACCATGTAAGCACCCAAAGTTGCAACAGACGATGTCAAACAAATGACATTTCCGCTTAAATTCAAGTTGGCCGAAGTTTTAGTTGCCGTACCATGACTAACTTTATCGGACATCCTCTGATAATCACGTAATGTCTCATAGGTCTTAGCACCAATGGTCAATAGCGAAAATATCGGATGAACCAAAGTAGTAGCCTGACCCACTGCAGACACCGCAGAGAATACGGCATCCATTTTTGCTAGGCTTTTTCTATGATACGCAGGTGTAAGGCAACACTCTAATTGCACCTGTAATTTGTAAGAAAAACAAAAAAATATGTATGTTTCAAATATTCTAAGCACACAATTCCGATATAATTCTCTACAAAAATTTATACTTGATTTAATGCTTAATGTATTTATTTTAGAAAAATATATCGGATATATACATATTTAGAAATAATACCTACTTAACATACCATGTTGTTATCGTCCAAGCTATAGCATCCATTAGCTGGTGCAACCATAACGCCAATAGGTAATTCATTATTTTTTACAAAATCATTCCAATTTTTATATATACGAGACTGCTCGTCTATAAATATCATACAGCAGCCCGAACTGCTGTTCGAATCTGAATTAATAGAATGTAAAAAATAAAAAAAATATATATTTTTTTTATTAAAACTGTTAAGGAAATTAACTAAAATACTCATACTTAGACATCGTCTCGTACGAAATATGGGATGTATGGAATAATTATGCGACAATTTTGCATTCTCTACATCAGTATCTGATGTCACTATTACGTAAATAATAGAGTGTAATAGAACGCCATTTGTATATTTTCCTGTAAATGAGAAATGAGATAAAAATTAGAACTAATGGAACTAAAACTATGACAACAACAATACTCTATATTAGAATATATACCCTAACTCTAACTATATTTAGTGATTTAAAAAAGTTTAAACGAAGGTAAAATAGAATATATTGAGTCAATGACTCAATACAGAAATACTCAAGAGAATTTCGCCGTTTATACACTATTTAGTGTATGGCGAAAGTCCACCTTTGCTTTAATTCACTGTCCATAACCTCATTTTTTGTTATGCACTGGAAATGACTAATTCATAACGTAGGTATTATATTGTAATTTGATATCTCGTATTTAACTTACTCTGTTGCCAAATATTTTGAAACAATTTAGCTCGGATTTCTTTGACGTTAACATTGTGTCTTCGTGCTCTGCGTATGTCTTGTTTGGATGCATAAACCGTTCTGTCATCCGGAAACATATATTCCAATTTTTTGCACAAAACATCTCCTTGATCTGGACCCAATCTATATATAGTAGTAATTAATCAAAATTATAAATAATAATATTACATTTACTGAGAATATCAAAACAAAAAAAGGTAAACTCACACATCCCAAACAATTTCCGTTTGTAGTGTACTTGTTACAGCCAAGTCCTGTTGAACTTCAATGGCTGCACGCAATTCGAGAACTTTTGTACTTTGTTCCTCTACTTGATCTCCCGCAAGCATTTTATATATATGCGAAAAATATTAGCATTTTTTCATTTCAAAATCACATCACACCAATGACATTTACATTTTCTTGATGTTTTTGTTATCTTATATAATAATTTTGATACTTTTCCACAAACCGTAGACAATCACAAAATGACGGACACATACACAAACATTATATTGTCGTATGTATGTGATCATTAACTTTTATTGCCGATAGTTTGAACAAATTTTATTATAGATCAATATAATAAAACAGTACAAAAGGTTTACAAGTTAAAATCACTACTGGAACAACAATTTTTTGGGGGGGGGACAAATCACAAATGCACAATCACAGACATATTGCACTTTTCACGACTGAAACAAGTTTACGACTAAAAATCGAAGGCGTTGATCTTTGTTCTGTCAGTAAATAGGATGAAGTATGTATGTTAATAATACGCTGTTATAACCGCTTATAACGGTATTCTTAAAACAAAACTCAAAAGTGGAATACTCAAAAACTCTTATCATTTGTTATACATTTTTTTATAACAGATTTATGTTCTTTTAGTGGTTATTTAAAGAGAGAAAATTGTTAGTATTTTATTGGAGATGAGTAAAATTGAAAAAAAAATATATTACTTTTTTTCAGTACTTTTTTACCCAAAAAAGTACCGTAGTACCCCCGTGACCATTTCAGTACCATTCCAATACTTCATTAAGCTATATATATATATATTGGATTATAATTTGTTATGGATTTGACCGACAAAAGTATGCAGATAAAGATATTGATGTTATTGCAATATTTCCCTTAAAAAAATTGAGCAGGTTTACGACTGATTCAGATATGATTAAAATTACAAACATAAATTATGTTAATGAGTTCCATTTTTTAACCGGATATGTTTGTCTGATACTCAATTCGGTATACTCTGTGCTATTTCCTGAGGAAGCAAATTGATGACATTCCTAGTCGTCTTGATTACTTCAATAATTTCAAGAACACTTTGGAACTGAAATTCATGTTAGTTTAGGGTATATTGGCTTTCGAGAAAGAGGTAGTGAAATTAGTCAATAGCATACATATTCAAATGCAATCGAAAGAAGCAAGAATTCTCATATTATTACCATCAGAAAGGTAGACTAAGTGATATCTTGATCTTTATGAAACTGAATAAAATGTTTTTTATTATCTTGAAAAGGTACTCTTTTATTAAAAAAAGTACTCTTTTGGTACCTATTCACATTTTTCATTTTCCATCCCTGTTCCTATACTGCAAGAATCTAATATTTTTTACTACGATGATAAATTTCCCTTTATGATATCGAACAAAATAGTAAAACTAATAGATTCTTGCGTACTAGAACAGACCAAATTAAAACAAATGATAAAAAATAAACCAGTATGGAAAGTTGGACTGGGCCTTTCTGCAACCTATGCTAAATTTCATTTCATTCGAACACATTTAGGGTCGTTTGTGTACAATTGGACTAATCGATTTCAAGCAAACTTGATACACGCTATTCGATATGCCGCACTGTTCAAAATTTAATCCCAATCAGACGTTCGAAATATATATATTTAATAAGGTAGCCGCAACGGCCCAGCTGTTGGACAAATAAATGTCAAAAATGTTGTTGTAATGTTGAACCAAAAAATTAAAAAACAAAATTATGAATGAAAATCTCCGAATTTCGAAGAGCTTTTTTGGCAATACTTTTATTAACATTTTCTACAAGAATTTGTGTAAAAAAATCTTGTCAATCTGTTTGTTTTGGCAAAATATTTTTGACATATCAAAATACAACAACCGATGTTTGTTGTAGAAATTCGCCGATGCGGCTATCTTGTATATCTACCTTGGTTGATTCATAAGGTTAACAGGGAGGCGAATTCAAAGTCTTAATTGATTGTCAAATGTATTGTTTGAAGAATAAATAAACAAAAAATATTTTTATTTGAAACAAAATATATGTATGTATGCGCACATTACTATCATTACGTTTTCCTGAAAGATATTTTGAGTTTTTATCCAGTTCTGGTTGGTATTTCGCGATTTAAATGTTGACAGCAAGAGAAGACTAAGACATGAATTCGCCTGCCTGTTAACCTTATGAATAAACCTTGGTTTGAAGAATAAATAAACAAAAATATTTTTATTCGAACCAAAACTATCATTACGTTTTCCTGAAAAATTTGTTGAGTTTTTATCCTGTTCTGGTTCTGTATCGCATTCCAAATTGCTAATGTATGCAGATGATGTCAAGTTGTTCATTACCCATCATTCTGAAAAGCAAGCTGATTTACTCCAGTATGATTTAAATAGCCTATTTCAATGGTGCAGCCTAAATTGTATGGACTTGAATTTAAATAAATGTAAACATATGCTTTTTCTAGAAATTCTTCTTCGATAATACCATAGACAGACGACAGCCTTAATTTGCATTAAAAAGTTCTTAATTTGAATTAAAATTTACCCCTGACAGACGAGAGTTTCTGCATTTATGAACCAGTTTTTTTCTTTCAAAACTATTGTTTGTCTGTGTGTAGGAAGAAAATATTGACATTTGTTTACAATATTTTTTAGGATTACATCTTTTTGAAATTGATACATGACAGGAAGGAAAAGTAACAGCTATAATGAAGATAAAACAGCTCCAAATTTGAAGAAATGTTGAATTTTGCCTTTATTTCTAATTTTTATTTTCGTAAACGTAAACAAATTTGACAACAATCAATTTATTTTCTACAGCATTGCCATATTGAAATTGCTTAATTCAGTATAAATTCAGTTTGATTTTGTGCATTAACAACACATAAAAATGAGGATAATGTACAAGTTAATTTGAATTAAGGCTGTTAATGCAAATTAAGGCTGTCGTTTGTCTAGGCTATAAGACCAACGCGTATTTAATAAGGCGTAAGTGACAATCATATGCACCCTTATTACGGTAGGCGTAGTCGTTGTACGGCAGCTCTCGTAGGCGTAGTCGATTGCGTCGATTTTCGACAACGCCAAATATTGTAATAGATTTTTCTTTTACTCTGTTACAAAACCAAATCAAAAATTGTTCTTTTAGAACCCTTTTTATATCGTATTGGAAAAACTATGTAATTTTGCTGGTTTTCTAATTAATTTTTGTGGTAATTGTAATTCTTATGAATATTGAGTAATGCAATAAAATAAAGTTGAATGTAACAGTTAATCAGTAAATATTTTCAACACGACTACGCCATCCGTAATAAGGGTGATGGTTTCAAACTTTTTGTCAAAAACATTTTCAATATTACATTTCGATTTCAAAAATGGTCTTTAAATTTAGGCTTTTTTTAATAATAAAAATTCAAGAAAGCTACATTCATAGAGGGGACGGAAACGAAATTTAGGCTCAGTTATAACCACGTTCGCCGATTGGTCCAAATATTTTATGTTATGTGTGGAAATCTTTCCAGAAATCCCAGCTACTCATAAAATCGAGGAGATATTTGTTAGCCTATATTGGAATCGCCCCCTTGGTGCTTGTCACAATTCTCGGGGGCGGTTAAATACGCCTATGGAAAGTTTTATACGGCCAACACAATTTCCATGATTTAATCTTTGGCCGGGGATTTATGACCTTCAATTTTCTTTAAGAAGACGATTTGATGCCACTCAAAAAAAAAAGATTGTAATCCAAAATTTGAAAGAAAGATTGTAACCACAAGATTTGAAGCCACTCAAAAAAAAAAAAGATTGTAATCCACAATATAAACAACATCACAAGGAGCCATGGGATAATTGTGGGAAACTTAAAATTAATCGCGACCCGGTCTTAAACTTTATTTTTCATTGACCTAAAACCGCCAATAACCCAAGAATACACTAATTCATTATTTATTCCTCAAATAATAGTTGTTGACAAAAATAAATTAATAATTGTTTTTGTTTATTTTTGTCAAAAACTTATTGTTAGCATGACAATTTAATTTCTATAACAACAATGTTGTTTTTGTAAAATATTTGTTGTTGTATCTGATGCATACACCTTTGGTCTGTTCCCGTACTGCAAGAATCTACTACTTTTTACTACGATAACGAATTTTCCTTTATGTTGTCGAAGAAAATAGTAAAATCTAGTAGATTCTTGCTGTACGGGAACAGAACACTTATTAAATACACCTTGAATAGAACCTTTAGAAGATTTGAAGAATGTCAGGCGAATTGACTTTTTTTACAAACCTGTAAACATATGGTCTGCCACTAAGTTTTTATATCTGTTGATATAGAGCTCTGTATTTATTTTTGACAGAAGAAGTCACTACCTACATAGTTGTTTTTTGCTAATCACCACAAGTTATCCTACCTTGTATTCTTGTAACATGGGTAAATCTTAACACGTTGACGGACAGTAGAAACAAGTGAAATTCGAAAACATGACACTAGGCTTCTTCTTGTACGCTGGTAAATGCACATTTGTGCTGCTACAGCCGTCATGTCACATAGTGAACTTGAACTTGACGGCTATAGACGCAACTGTTCGTCAACGTGTTAAATTGTTAACCCTTATTATCACATTTTTGAAAACCATATTTCTTAGATCCGTCGTTGAAAATCAATTTTTATACAACGAGGCTGAAATGGATGATATCTTTTTGAATATCATTTTTATCTAGATAATAGGCGCAAATCTAATGGAGCTCTACATTTTTTTATTTTAAAAGTTTGAATGAGAATCTGATATTCTTTCAAATTGAAATTATGCTAATTGCTTAAAACGGATACAATATCAATTTCCTACCGACTGTTACTAACGATTTGTGGTACTGCTCTTTAAAAAATTTGGCAGCACTGTCATATTGTTTACAAAATATGGTTATTTGTTTATATTTTCTGTTCATTAGCAGTAGTATTATTTATAATTTCAACATTCGAAGGTAGTAGTAGCGGAGCATGGATCAAATACCGGATGTGTCGATTACCGTAAGTATACAAATTGGTGTTGAACCAGTTACAAAGGTCGTTGTTAAAATTGATTAAATAGTGTTAAATCCGTGCACTTTTTAGGTATTATCGTTTGGAGTTCATATTGAACTCCAAATATGTATGCATATTTTTTTATTTTGCATATTTGTTCTACAAGATTCTTATGATCGCTGTATAATATTTCGATTTGCACCAATAATCTGCTCTTATCAAATTTGATTTGCTTATCTTTGAATATAATAGCAATGTACCTGCCTTTAATCTTATTTCCCAAAAATATTACAGTGCAGCGAAGTGCGTATACAAGTTCCATGGGGTCATATATCAGGCAGATGGTATGGCGATCAAAATGAAAGACCTATTATAGCATTACATGGATGGCAAGATAACTGTGGAACATTTGCCAAATTGGCGCCGTTGATAGCACCATATCGTAGCCTATTATGCATTGATTTACCCGGTCATGGACATTCTAGTCATTTGCCGCCAGGAATACTTTATCACAACACTGAGTATGTTCGTGTAATTTTACGTCTTATGCAAATATACAAATGGAAGAAAGTAAGCTTAATGGGTCATTCTATGGGTGGATCAATCGCCTTTCATTTTGCTGCACTCTATCCGAATCGAGTCGATATGGTCATTAGTTTGGATATAATTAAAAATGTATATTGGCCCACAGATGTTGTGCCAACTTTACTAGCCCATGTAACGGAAAAGGCAATCATCGATAATGAACGGCTGCTAAACAACTCTGATGCTTCAGAACCACCAAGCTATACATTCAAAGAATGTGAACAACTTCTGTATGAAGGCTCACAAAAATCCGTTGATTTGGAAAATTGTAAATATATATTAGAACGAAATATAACAAAATCCGAATTATATCCAGACAAATATTATTTTTCGCGAGATGGCCGTGTTAAATATTTGTCAGAATTTAATCCCAATACAGGAATGGCTTTGGAAATGGCCAAACGCATTTGCCAGAAAGCGATACCATATTTGGTAATCAAAGGCGGAGAGTCAACGAATGTTAGTGCTAAAACGACCGAACTAGATGAATATATGTCGAAAAATAATCATTGTTTTGAAAGTTATATGTATCCAAAGGGGACACATCATCTACATTTGAACAATGCCAAGCCAGTGGCACAAATAATCATTGGGTTTTTACAAAAGCACGATAATGAAGCATCTAAAGTAATTAAATCTAAATTATAAAACATGGTATAATAATAGAAGGTGACAGCAAGTGTTGTTGTACAAAAAACGATACAACAACCACATGGAAATTTGTTGTTGTAAGTTCTACTAGTGTCAACTCACTTGACAGAAAAATGTAAACAAACAAACAAATTATCATCAAATTATTTTTATTTTGAAAATGAAATATTTTCGAATCCTCAAAATAAAAATTGAAAAACATGAATGAAAAGCTATCAAATTTATATTTCTATCGCTTCCACATCTTTCCTATAATTGAGCCATTGCCATATATATGTGTAACACATATGAAAATGCTGGGAATAGCGAGTTATTCCTTGAAGAAAGATTTGCTTCCTCAAACTTTCCCAGCAGGCAGATTGAGTAAATTGAATACGGGAGCACATTTAATAAAGAACAATTTCAAATTGTATCCGTTCCCAATTTTCCTGTTGGGTGATTTTTAAAAACTTTTTTTAAAAACTTGTCAAATTCATATTGACACTAGTATTACGTTGGAATCAAATCAGCTGGGATTTGCTGTTACCTTTTATAATTGTACCATGATTATAAAAAAATGTAAATGTGTCTGAACACAGTCAAAATTGTTATTTTGTATATAACTTTATTGTTATATGTATAATTGTTACTAAATAAAATTTAAACCAAATTTTCTATGCCAGTTGGCTGAGAAAATGTATGTATATGATAAAATCCATTCAAATGTAACCCCTTTTTATTTTAAATGAAAACTACACTAAATGTAAAGATTGTCCGTAATATTTACTCGTTTAATTCAGTTTTATCTAGACACATAATGTACCAGTCCTTTAATAATACATAAAAAATCTATGTAATTATCTAGATATTCTAATTGTCTACTGCTCTCTAATGCGAGGATCATCTGCTTAATTGTTCGTTTAATTTATTTGATTCATTGCTAATTTCTCCTTTTTCATGTTGTGCCGTACCATTGTCATTACTATCTTTCATACTTTTATCCGATTCGTCTTCAGCTTCATCAGCAACGCCCGAATCATTTTTTGATTCTTCAAATAATTTGGCCTTAGCTCTTCGTGATTTTATTAAAATTCCATGGCCGCGACAATCCATATCTTCACTATAGCATTTCTCTCTACAGCAAATACGACAAAGTTGATATTCACATTTCGAACCCATAGGATTTGTGCAATCACTACAATTTTCCAAATTACGTTCGTGCCGACCTTCGGGTTTATTGGGTCGGCGCATACGACGTCTGAGTTTTTTCATACGTTTTCGTGATATCTCCTGACCTTCATTGTCAAAATATTGTCGCTTTTCACGATTTGGATCTTCAGCCAAACGGGCTTTCTCTGCCAGAATTTGCTTATGCATTTCAGGTGGAACTCTTATATATGGCTGACATAACCAGGGCGGAAGTGCCAAATTATAGCCTAACTCCTCTTGTACCACACTTGGATCCACTTCTTCTTCTTCATACAATTGTAAGCCTTCGTGATAGGGCTCATATTTGGATTGCACCTTTTTTACAACGACACGAAATTTGTCTAAACTATTTGCTACCGCAAGTTCCTCTCGTAAATCGCTGTTGGGTCTTAAATTCATTAAATGATGGAATATCTTGAAACAATGTCCACGAATAAATGAAATAGGGCACGGATACTTTTCGACATAGTCCAAATATTCACTAGCCATTTCCCATGACTTTGCTTGCATACCAGTAAATAGAGCGGGGTTGTGTAGGTTACCTTCGGCCGTCATTACACCATCCACTCCAGTTTCCTCAATACATCGGTGGATGTCCTCCAAACCCAGTATATTCCCGTTGGCAAACATGGGAATTTTAATATTTTCTCTAACCTCGCGGATATACGACCAATCTGCTACACCCGTTAGAGGACCTTTTTGTTCCCTTGTCCGTCCATGTACCGTGAGCAGTTGGCAACCAGCCTTCTCCAGCATTTGTGCATAGCGAATGGTTTTCTCTCTGTCTTCGAATATACGGATTTTACATGTAATCGGAACCTTAAGATTGACATGCAGCGTTCTCACAATCTCAGCCAGCAATTCCCATTCCTCTTGCAGAAAAGCACCATAATGACCACGTTTAGCTATAGCCTGAGGGCAACCTAAATTAATATCGACAGCATCACAATAATCCTGAGCCAATGTCGCTGCTTCTAGTAGAGTAGAGGGATCATTGCCACAGAACTGTATAATAAGCGGTCTATCTTCTGGACATGTTTGCAGGGCATCTTTGCGATATTTCACATCATTGGCAAATAAATTGCTGTGGAACATGGGCGAATAACAAAGATCTGCTTTGTATTTCCGGCACATCATACGCCATGCCAATTCACTTTGGTCCACCATTGGAGCAACGACAAACTTTGGAGACTTTAGCACTTTGTGATAGAACTCATAGCCACCAAGTTTCGGATACTTAGTGGTAGATGTTGAGGTGCCATCCGTTTCAGTCATGTCTTACAGGATTGAAGGAACGCTGATTGTATGAAATAAATGTTTTTTTTTTACTTTAAGTTCTTCTGTCGTGAATATTATACCCTTAAGGTGTTATTTGGCCGCTATGTCGCCACAACAGAAATCTCTAATATTAAAAAATAAAAACAAACGTGTTACGCTAAATAGAGTTGCCAATTATCTTTTAAATCATATGCTGGGGATTTGACCATAAGTCAAAAATTTGAATCCTAGTCATAGGAGATTTTTGTAATCTGAGAGAGAAAAATCTTTTACATTAGGTCCATACTCTATCGGCAATAACGTCCCTTTTCGCTCTTGTTCACCCAGTTCCTTTAGATCCTATATATTACACAATTATATAATTGTACCACTATCTGGGGTGTACCATGGTATAATAATTACAAGGTAGGGCACAGCAACCAACTGATTACAATTTTTTCTCAAGGTGGCTTGTTCCATCAAATCAAAATACATATATTTGGTTTGTTCCCGTACTGCAAGAATCTACTAGATTTTACTATTTTCTTCGATAACATAAAGAAAATTTCGTTATCGTAGTAAAAAGTAGTAGATTCTTGCAGTACGGGAACATACCAATTGTGTATGTGTGTGTATTGTTTTGTCAATAATGTCAATAAATTCAAAACAAATTGAAATATATTCAATTTTAATTGAAATGAAAATAAAGTTTTTAACACGTTCGTCTGGAACAAGGTATATTAAGAAGGTAACCGTATCAAACCAGGTGATGGTAACATTAAATGTCACAACAATTTGTTGTTTTTAAATTTCCGTGAAAAATAAATATATTTCCAAATAGAAATTGGAAACATTTAGAAATAAAGAACAAACAACTAAGGACAAGAAACGAATTGAGAGGAGACATTGGGATTTATAAATTAAGAGCATTTGGAGGTAAAGAAGACTACGGATGGAAACAAGACTGACAAGCCGCCTACACGCACATACTTTTATAAATTTATTTGTTTTCCTTTGAAAAACAAATCTTTTGGATATTTGGAAAAATAAAAATGATATTGATGTCGATAAACAGATCTTTTAATTGTATATAAGCATTATTGGGTTCCAGTGTTTTTGGTGTGTAATTCCCTCCTTTGTTTTTGAGTTAAATTGGCAACTCTCACTCTAGTCATGTCAAATGTCAATTTATATGTAAACAAACCCTCACAGCTGATGTGTCATCAGTGTTGTTGGGAAAAAAATTATTATAGGGATCATTTGTAATATTAATATTTTTTAATTAAAAAATGGAATTCATACATGAAGGTGTTGCTCTTGGAGTAGATTTGCTCATATTGGGTTTGTGCGTTAAGGAATACATTAGTTATAAGAAGAATGTACAGTTATTAAAGGTAAGGAAAGTTGACGGAACATATATATGTATATATACATACATTCTGCTTACAATTATCCTTTGCAGGGTGCCCCGCAATTAACTATTGATAAAAACCTTAAAGATTATGTAGCCAATCAGAATGACAGTAAGGTCCCCTATGCCGTGGTCAGGGGAATTGTTACACCAATTGGTGTACCCATGCGAAGCGTAATGTCACCTTCCGTAACAGGAGTATTACAGGTCATAAAACTAAAGTAAGTCATTATTTCAATGGATTTGAAAACAATTGAGGATTATTTATTCAATCTTTTACAGCGAACATCGTGTGGCTCGTGGTTTCGCCGGATTTTGGTCAGAACAACGAAAACTCATACATGTTGCCTCAAATGAAATGCCTTTCGAATTGCGCAACAATGATGCTGGCGTCGAAGTTGTTGATGCCCTATCTGCTGCTGTCCTTGATTTGGATGTAGTCTATGATAATTATGAACCATCATCCTTGCATTTCTTTGATCATATATTTGGTTTCTTTTCGGGTGTACGCCAAAAGGGTTTACAAACTACCGAAGAGGTACTTCGTGATGGTAGTTTTATAACTGCTATTGGTGAACTGGAAACAGATGGCAAAACATTACGCTTGCAACCATCACCATTGGGTCCACTATTCTTGACAACCGCAACAAAGTCGACATTAATCAAAAAATTAGAAGAGGCAAAAAATTCGATGCTCTTTAAAATTCTGGTATGCGGTACAATTGGTGCTGTGCTGATAGGTGTTGTTGGCCGAAAGATTTATTTGAAAAAGAAACAGGAACGAGACGAAAGACGTATTCGTGAAACATTGGAAAAGGAGCGAAAAGAACGACGGGCAAAATCTAGACCAGCACATTTATCACAAGATCAGCTGTGTGTTGTATGTAACATAAATCCAAAAGAGGTTAGTGTGGATAGTATGATGATTGAATATGATCAAATATATATATATATATATATTTAAGCTTTGTTATTGTTAGCATTTCGATACAATATTAAAAGTTAAATTGTATGTTGAAGGTTGATAGGTGCGGTATATTGAAATATTTATCACAAGTAGTCCTAGGGCCCTGGTTACATCGATTTACATATTTGTTTGTAGAAGTGCATACTACCCGAGAGATGCGCTCCCAAATGCCCATATCTGTTTGAAAACCACACTAAGCCAATGTTGACTTTAATGTGAAGACGTAGAGGTTCGGATTAAAATAAATAATTTGCAAGTACGTGAAGAGAATACACTTTACTATTCAAATAAAAAAATAAAATATCTCAGTAGGTGAATTTGTTAAGTCCAGAGACACATAGACTACATCTGGTAATATTTTACGAATTATCCGTGATCGGTTCTTAACTTAATTTTCTTATTTTTATTTATTCACATAGCCTTCCAAATTAATATTGCATTTTCATTTCAGGTTATTATACTACCCTGTGGTCATGTCTGTATCTGTGAAGACTGTTCCGAAAAAATCAAAATGACATGTCCTGTATGTCGTGGAAAAATTAATACACGAGCTGCTGCATTCATATCGTGAATACTTTTAGACACAAAATTAAATCGCCCAAAAATATGATAATAATTCTCAATTTATTTATAAAAAACATCAATTGTATATAGAACAAAATAAAAGATACAACTCAATACAAAATGTAATAGCAAAATCTACATACAAACAGTTTAGCTTATAAATAATGTATGTGCGTGTTTCTTGTTTTTTTTTTTTATAGAGACGAATAAATGCAATTTAAATAATTTTCGAGTAGTTCCCAAGCTACATCATTAAATCTTTGTATTTACGTTGATCCTTTAACATTTCCAGAAATACTTGATATTTACGCTCGTGATAATCTTTTGTGCCAAATTGTGGTATTAACATTTTACCATTGCCGCCCATTGCATCAGAGGCTGCTTCCAAACCATCATAAACCTTGGCAGCACAAGCACCCAACATTGCCGAACCGACCAAAACCATTTCTTGTTCATCGGGTATAAGAGCGGGAAGTTGACAAATATCCGCATGATTTTGAACATACAGCGCATTTTTGGCAAGTCCACCACAAAACAATAGGGTGTGGAAGGGAACACGATTGTGCTTAAGTAGATTGTCGATAATGTGGCGAGTGCCATACTGAAAAATATACATATATTTATAATATTTCGGCGCTGAAAGTATTCGCAAATTTCAATAAATACTTACAGCTAAAGATTGTACAAAAGCCAAGTATAGTATAGCCAGGGATTCTTCATCTACATTCATGTTAAGACCTGAAATCTAGAATTTAAAAAGGTTGTTAAATAGCCCTGTACACCTTCATATTGCATTTACAAACCATTCCCCTTAAATTTGGATCAGCTATTGGTGAACGATTTCCATGAAAATCTGGCCAAACATGTAAATCTTTTGTCAAATAACATGGATCATCCAATCCTTTTTCCTTGGCTATCTGTTTCAATTTGCGATTCAGATAAGTGTATATGTGCCTAAAATTATAGCAGTATTATTTGGTGGAAATACCAGATGGAAATGGCTTTAAGTTTAAAAATATTAAACTTAAGAAAACATTCGAAATAAAGAAAGACAGTCTATTTTTGTGGGACAAAACGAGCATTACATCAGCTAAATCATACCCTATTCTGCGGTTAAACCTAAACGTGGATCTATATATCTTGTCAATTTCGGCAAAGAGGTTTCTGCAGTCAAACATTTAATCGCGAGTAAAAATTTAAAAAAATCTAAAATTAGAGTCAGTATGAAAAATTTGAATTGAACATGGATTGCAACACCTCCTATTAAGCGAAATGGTTTTCGATGTACGAAACAGACCAATTGTAATTAATATTAAAATATTAAGGTATTTTGTGGAAATTATATTAATGTGTGTAGACGAATACCAAGGGTTCAAGTTCATGGGTAATTATGTAGATTGTCAAACGCCCGTCTCTGTCCCATTATAGCCTTCACTTACTGTTGTAGTATTGTACTCACTCATTTTCGCTAAGCTTCATTTTAATATGCATATATTGAGGATGCGTCTTGATTACATGATCCAAAAGCAACCCTGCTGCACTTTGACCGCCTTCATTTAAATAATAACCTGGTATAATGGCACTACGATATGGTCCCCAAATGCCGGTAGCCAAACACGGATCACGTGTTAAACTCATGTGGCATGTCGAAGTGCCACAAATCAATGCTAGTTTTCCCTGCAATTCACAATTGTATTCGTTGGAACGACATCCAAACATACCCAAGGCACCAGCATGGGCGTCAATTAGTGATGTACCCACAACTGTACCGGGCAATAAATTCAATTCTGTGGCCGCCTGTTCACTTAAACCTTTACCAACCGGTGTGCCAGGTTCCTTTACAATGCTACCAATAATTTCTGCATCATTTTCCAGTAGATCATCCAAACCGATTTGGTGGAAAAATTCCCGATTCCATTGCATATTCTCGGCATCATAATTCCATTTGCAGACCACTGAACACAATGACCTGGTATCGCAGCCAGTACTACGCCATGTTAGAAAATCGGGTAAATCAAAAGCTCTCCAAAGTTTTGACCAGGTCGAGAGATAACAATTATTTTTAAGCCATAGTAATTTTGGCAATTCCATTTCTAGGGAAACTTGACCGCCAACATATTTCAATAGATCATGTTTGGTAGCATTGATATGATCAGTTTCTTGGTGAGCTCGATGGTCCATCCATAAGATAACATTTTGTTCCTTATTAAGAGTTTTACTCACAGAGAGAGGTTCACCATTTTCACCCAAAATTACCAGAGAACATGTGGCGTCAAATGAAATTGCAACTATTTCTTCTTTGCCAACATCGCTGATAACATTCTAAAATTAAAAAATAACGAATGTTTTAAATATGTATATAAATAATGTGAGCATAAAAGTTGAATAATTAAACTTAATTTGAATTAAATTTTCAATTGCTATTTGAACTAACGATTAGTAAAAACTTTATTTTTAAAGCAAGACTACAAAACAAATAAAAAATAAGGAAGATCCTTATAGATTGTATTTATCCAAGTCCTTACTTTAGCTATGTACGTAGAGAATAACGGGTTCAAATTTTGAACCGATTGAGTAGTTTCGAGAAAAACACGAATCCAAAAATCCATCTGGCTTAACGTGAAAAGTTAATCAGTCCACTTTTTCTAGAAATTTAGACTTTGATACAGACTTGATTAAAAAGTAAAAATACATCGATTTAATAAAAAATCTGCAATTATCACATTTGTCTAAGTCCAATTTATCACATGTCGCTGGCTGTTTTTTTCTCTCTTGTAAAATTGTAAAATATGTACTTATTGCCGATATATTTTTTAGAACTTTTGAAATCTTCACTTGAAACTTTTTAAGACATTCTTGAATAGCTATAATTTCGTATTATAAAGTCGAGAATGAGGGATTCCCTTAATGTGATCTTAATCCTTTTATGGATGTTTAGAATTACTTTTAGCTGTCACTGGTTTCTTTTGCAGTGACAACAAATGTTACCAAATATCGAACAAACAGGCACTTGAATTTTCCTTTTAGGGATATCAAGGAATATAATTCATAAAATAAATCAATGTTTTTTTTTTTACTTTGGTCAACATTTTTATTTTCAGTTTTTTTTTACATTCTATATATTTTTTTGAGGAAAGAAAAAAAATCCCTTTATGGATCATTGGTTTTCCATTACACTATAATAGTCCGAATAGTCCATTTTTATCATATACAACCTTATTCTTGACATCAATTCAGAGTGAATTTGTTCGCTCTTTCCTTTAAAGTTATTCTGGACAAGAACTCGCAGCGTTTTTTCGCATTTTCACATTCCCCTTACTCTGAATCAAGCTCGAAAGCGAAAAAAAATCCGAAATATTAGTTATTCTGGATTACAGGAAGTGGGAGAATGTGTTAATATTTTGGGCGAAAATTTTCACTAATAAATTGGAAGGAAGCTGATTACAAAAGTATAAGTCCGATTATAGCGAACTCGTAGGTACCTAGCAAATTAGTTCGTTATATCCAAGGTAAACATAGGGATATTCTCCCCAGATGTTATTTATAGCTTTTTACAAAAAACTTTTCATACCCAAATGTCACTAAGTCAGGCACCAACGAACTTTTCATTGAGGAGGTGTAAAGTAAGTAAGAACTTCGATTTGTTACAAGAATTTTTTTTTTTTTTTTGTAAAGAAGGCATTAATAGCTTCTTGGAAGAATATTCTAACAAAAAACTAAGGGAACTGTTGAGGATCAGTGGCGAGATCCGAAGCTATAGTCTTCCCTGTCTTACCCTTTGGGGGACAATGTCATACTTTCTCCGCTATTAAATAGTTTTGTTAGTTGTTTTTTATAAAAACAACAAATAATCCGCCAAACACTACCAAAAATAAATAATAAGTCGAACGTAGAGAATATATATTCTATATTCTTATATAATTTGTATAGCTATATAAAAATTTTATTATTGCATTTTCGTACGAGATCAACCGTATCCCTTTAAATGCCTAAAGATGTGCCCTTTTTAATAGAGCGAAAAATCTGAAAAGACCTTTACAAAAAAAAAATCACCTCAGACATGTAATTTAGTGATAATTAGAATAGTTCTTCTTTGTTTTTATAAATTTAAGTATTTAAACTATAAAAATGAATGTATATCCTCCATTGCCAACCCTAATCTTCAAACATTTAATACCGATATCAATGAGCTATTGAGATAAAAATGCTAACATTTGTCTCTTATCGAATCACTGTTATTCTCTGTCTCTTTAAAACTCCGATTCGTTCTCTCGTGTACGTATGTACTTACTATACCATAATACACCTATATACATCGCCATGAACATATCTCACACCACCTACCTTAACACAATAACAAACAGCATTCCAGATATCATCAGACGATTGTTCGAAGTGTTCATGTTCTGGATTCCAAATACGTATATTTCGTACAGCCTGTTTTAGAACTTTGCCATCTGATGTTATCAGTGCAGCTCGAGCTGATGATGTGCCCACATCGACCCCCACAAAGTAGATTTTTGGCATTTTGGTATGGTGTGCGAGCAATCCCGTACGCTTGACAGTCAATGGAAAACGCTTTCCGTAAACTGATCGAACCGTTGTAGTAGAATCTTATCACCTCCACTTCAAATTGCAATTTAAACTTGCGGCGGTTGAGACAATTAATATGGGGAAACAAATTTACATTCGAGAGAACCAACAATCAAGGTTAGAATTTGACTCAGTGCTCTTCTTGAATTATTATCTTATCAACGTTGTAAAATGTTACGCTGCACCAACGACGAGGTTCATCAACTGTTTTCTTTTCTAATTGCCCGTACTAATTGGTGGAGGGAAAATCTACCTTCTATTGCTTGTGATTAGTGCATGGGTAATGTTTAGTCCACTTTGTTATTGGTTCAAAGTCAAGTAGGTATTTAGTAAATGTTTTTTTGTGTGTTTGGATGAATGCGTATCTCGTTTGCAGTTTTTTGTTTGAAATTCGCGTTTCAAGTCGATTGTTTTTGACTCTCGTTTTCAATACCATCTTAAACTTAATAAACAACAAAAAACAACATTTGTTCGTTCTCTTCAGAGAGTAGATCTTGTCTGTAAACGTTCGAGGGATGTTTGATAATGACAATGTAGAATAGAATAGTATGAATTGAAGCAATAAAAGTCTAAAAGATACAGGAATTTAATATTGTTTAAAAATGAAATTATATATAAAATATATTAAATTTTTATAAAAAAAATACGTTTAATGAAGCGAAATTAATCCTTAAATTACTATTTAATATAAAATCATTAAGACTTCTCAACCGATTTAGCTGATGGTCATTGTAGTCAGTGCTAGATACCTTTATTATTAGCATTGTATTTACTACAATGTTAATACTATAATAAATAAATTAATAATAAACCTTATGATGACTGAATGACTAGATGTGGTGGTTTGTAAAACGCATTTATGAAACGATTTCATTGATATAGGGATAGCACGAATATATACATCGTCCAACATAATGGATTCTAGATTTTTCAAGTTGGTCTTTGCAATCTTTGGGTGGAATAGTGCAGGGCATGCTAAATATCTGTTTTAATAATTTGTTTTGAGCAATCTGTAATTTCTTAATATGGATATTGGCTAAAGGTGCACAACTAATAGTTGTGTCTGGATAATTTAACAGGAACATTTACTAAGTAAGTTCTATTTCAGAGTGTAAGCCGTTTTTATTGCCTTTTGTTTGACATTTAATTTTTTAAATGAGTAAAATTTTGAATACGAATTTCTGTAAGTCCCAATTTATATTAGGCGAGTTTAATTGCGGCAAGTCTTTGTTTGATGGAGAGAGGGGCAAGGGGAATAGAACTTGAAAAAAATTGCTCGTACCGACAATTTTCTGGCAATTCGTTTTGTGATTTTTGTTTGTAGTGTCAGTAATTTAAAATACCAATCCATAACATTGTCAAAAAAAAATAAATATATTTTTGAAATCGAATTGCCTTGTATAGACGAATGAAGCAAGTTCAAAAGAGAACGATAAAAATTGCCGCAAGTAAACTCGCCTAATATAAATCAGGACTAATTTCTTAATATTTACATTAATATTTTTGTAAGTTAATTCGGGGTAGTTCCAATTCCAATTTTTTATATCTATTGCTTTTAATATATAATTATGGAGCTTGAACTTATTTTGCATGGATAGAAATATTATTGTGTACAATATATTTTTATAATTAATAATTTATTATAAACTTAATAATAGTAGTATAAATTATAAATAATAATAATAAAAAAAATCATAAAATACAATACTTTATAGGGTTGTCAAGGAATTATGGATCATAGTTTTTCCATTACACTATAAATACAGTACGATGCTTATATAGGTTAACAGATTTCCAAATAGAAATTTCTTTATCATATACAGCTTTATTATGGACATCAATCCACCGTGAATTTGTTAACTCTTCCCTTTAAAGTCATTCCGAACCAAAACTCCCAGCGAATTTATCCCTTTTTACTTTTCTCTTATTATGAATCAAGTTCGAAAGCGAAAAAAATCCGCTTTGGGGAAAAATTAGTTATTCTGGATTACAGGAAGTGGGAGAATGTGTTGACATTTTGTGCGAACTACTAACTACTAAAATATAAGTATTAAATATTTTTATGAAACATATCTAAATAATACTTATTCTATGACAATTTTGAATAATTTAAATGGTTGTATGAATATTTTTAACCTAAAAACAAAAATATAATGCCATTAGAAATCCTATTGATAACGTTGCATGCTCAAGAACATAAAGCTAAAAAAAATACTTTTTATTTCTAATTTATCGTATGCATGATTTGAAGGACGAAATAAAGGAGGTGGAGCATATCATAAAATAATTGGCCACTTTAAGAATTTGGAGACATACAATTTAGAAATTACGTAGCATAATTACAGAAGGTAGTCTCATTTGAGAATTTGATGATGGCAACCCTTTTTAATTTGGAACTCATTTATCAATTTTAAATAACAACGTTACCTATAATTCGACGGGGCGTGCAGAAAAATTCAACTTCCCCACTTTTGTAAAATGTTGTGTACGGCCGTAATACCCAAATACGTCGAATCCATATATTCAAGCAAATAATACAATCCGCAAAACAAAGTTGAACATTTATTAAATTAATTCAAATATTTTATGTTCACATTCGAAATTTCATATTTTCTGAATGTTTTGTTTTTATTTTCAACAAAAGAAAAATACAAAAAAATCGTTCTGTCAAAGTTGAAAATTTTCAACTTGAAATTTTGTACGCTCGACGTATTTCGGTAACATTCATATATATATACATGTGTTCTACTTTTGTGGTGAAAAACGTCGAACGAGCTAGTCGAATTTTAGGTAATAGTACGTTTACATTTAACCAGATTTCATTAACCCAGTTGGTCGGTCGGTTAACCCGGTGAAAAAGTTCTAGTGTACATGCGGTTTAAGGCTGTAACATGAAAAATAAATTCCATTAGACAGCCTTACTTAAAATTCAACTAGCTCGTTCGACGTTTTTCACCACAATAGTAGAACACATGTGTTTATATGAATGTTACCGAATTACGTCGACGTACGAATTTTCAAAGTGGAAAAAATTCAACTATGACAGAACGTAGTTTTGTTTTTTTTTCTTTTGTTGAAAACATAAAGAAATATAATTTTTTTTCAATAAGAATATGAAATATTTGAACCTATTTTATAATTTCTTAATTTTATTTTGCGATTTTGTTTAGTTCGCTAAGAGAAATGGATTCGACGTATTTGGGTAATACGGCCGTACAAATCATTCTGCCATAGTGGGGAAGTTGGATTTTAGGTAACGTTGTAATCTTATGTATTTCGATTGGCATATTTTCAATAAATTAAACAAAATATGTTTATGTTTACAGGCAGGGAACTTCAAAATATTTATAAATATAAATGATTTAGCAATTTTTGAATCTCCCATTTTTTGCTTCTCCCTAATCATTCAAATTAAGGAGAGAATGTGAATATCCAAAATAATGCTGAATACCTTTTTACTTTCTCTTGAATATCTAAACCTCCCTCGTATATCAAAACAAAAATCTAATAGGTATGCAGCTTATCACAAATTCAGAGTATGTTCTATGTCATATGTATATGTACATTTACTATACTTTGCGTGATCTCATTTAAATCACATATACATACCTCAAAAAAGGTTTAATATATTTTAAATATGTATTAGTGCACATGTCTATACTTCCAAAAGAAATGTATTTAAAATTTATTGTTTTGTTATAGCTTTCATATAACATAACCAGTTTTAGGAGTTTTTTAGGTCTATGGTTCGGAAACTCCCTTGCTAAATATATTATATTTTAATAGTACGTTTACATTTAACAGGATTTCGTTAACCCAGTGGGTTTCAATAGTCAATTCCTTTGCATTTATGTCAAATAAAACCTCATGAAGCAGGTTAACCCGGTAAAAAGTTCTAATGTATATGCCGTTTAAGTCTTTCAGTATTTTACGACCTCACGTTCACGTTTCATAATTGTAATACTATAATTACAAAATAACAATTTCTTTTACTTGTAATACCCTCCAGCTCGAGGTGTAAAATACCTCCGGAATGGAAGTAACAAACATTTATATTAATATCGACATTTCCTGTATGTATGTTTCAAGGTTTTGCTAATAGAAGCGGATTTTAATAAAACTTTTGTAAATATATATTTCGTATGCAAAAAATGTTTATTTTATAAAAATAATTTTATAATAATTATTCTTCCTTGAATTTATATTATTACATTTATATAATTTGTAGCAAATATCATTCATTAACAAATTGCAAAAAAATAAAAATTTTCTTATTGTATTTGTGAGATGTAAACATGTGCGCTTCTTTAAATCCACCATGGTTATATGATTATAAATGTATTATATGTACATTTCATACAGATCCATTGAATGCTCCGGCTATCAGTTCACTGCCAGATAATATACAATCCGATGCAACAAACACCTGAGATTCCGTTAACTTCGATATTAGATTACATGCTGCAATTTCCGCATACGTAATGCCACCTACCAAATATACAAAAATATTGCGATTTTTCAATGGTAAATCTTTGGCGTTTCCCTGTTTTACACTTTGACTATACGATTTTATGGACTGGCCATTAATTTGAATTTGCTCAATCATTGATAGTTTGGTAACTAATTCCTCAACATTCGATGATTTCAATAGAAATGAACACAGTTGCGCCACCAATGGTATATAAAGACGATTGAAGACATAACTCGGACAAGCCGTGGTGTTTGACATTGTGGTCGACCCTGTTGTTGAAATCGAAGCCGAAGATGATGAACCCATTGATATATTATCCATTTCTTCCGCACCAGCCGTGGAGACCATTAGTTTTAATCGATTTGCATTGGCTTGAAACTGGGTTTGTTGAAATTTGGGTATATTAAGGGGTATATTGGAGAGGAGTTTTGTTGCCTTTTTATTTAGTGGTGTAGACAATATATTTGCAGTCTCCTCTCCGGGAGTTGGCAACAAACCTATTTGTGATAGATTTTGAAACACCACTAAATATTTCAAGCCAAAATAATTACAATAATTTCTTATGAATTGAGATAGTTCATCGGATGTAATGCCAGCGCATACATGCAGTAGACACAATAGTCGTAAAATATTATATTTATGTCCATCTGTTGTCAGCAATTCATCAATATCTCCCAGTATTTTCTTACGTGATACATTGTTTAAAATATCCTCCTCTAATGACTGAACTCGGCGATAATTAGAACCAAGCATTTCGATAACTTTTTCACTGGCATTTAGGTGTCGCAATAACTTCGTTTTCATTTCTGTAATTTTGGGCAATTTACGATTAACATAATCATGCATTTCGTCCAATTTCATATTGTTGAGTTTTTGTAATTCCATGCTAATTGATTTGGCCTGTTGACGTATTTGACTACTTGCAGCGGCAAAATGTTTGTAACGATTTTCGGCATAAATTTCATCATGCATACCGCTCAATCGTATCGTTGTTGGTTTAATATTCTTTTGATCGTTTTTATTCGGTTTCGCCTCTTTATCCCTTTTAGATGGTGGTATCGAGAATATTGATAATTTTTCTTGTAAGATCTTGTTTTTGTTTAGATCTAATTCAAGCATGCCCGCATTACTGTTAAACACTTCTAATAGGAGACCGGAATATATGGCAGGTGTCAATAGAGGCGAAGCGAAATCTTTGTCACGATCGATTATTAACATGGTTGAGAAATCCGGCTCGTTATTATCATTCGATTTTTTTGGTAGTGAACCCAAATTGTTTAACATCTTCAAAATGTTTTCCGAATGAGCACCATAGGTCAAAATAATATTTGGTCGTCCACACAGTAGGTGTAGTACACGTAAGCTGTGACTAATTGTGGGTATTAGAGAACAATCCGAACGCATAAAAGCTGTAGAGAAAACCTTAAAAATAGAGAGTTGATTTTTTTTTTTTAATATTAAGTTTTTTATAAATATGCTCCTGCTATAAGTTAAATGAAAATGATTCAGAAAACTATACGATTCAATCTAATTAAAAAAAAGAAAATACTACTTACATTTTGCACTTCCATGCTTAGTAATCCTTCGTCCAAATAAATAAAATCCCAGCTAAATCTATGAAGACCGACAACACCGTACAGACCTTCGTGTTCCAACAACCGAACAAAATATCCAAAACATGAAGGTACACAAATTATATGATAATATTTGAATGATGCATCATCTGACATTGATGATTGTGCCTCTGTGCTTCTGATCAATTTAATTTGATCCATTATACGATAAAATAGGTTCAGGTCACTGCGGATCATATACAATTGAACTTGGTCGGAGGAACGTGTAATTGCATTGTTGGAATCTAATTTGAAAATACGCTGTATGCCCTTCAGTCTAAAAATTGGGATTTTGGATTAAATTAATATAAACAATTATGATTATGAATTCCAGTACTTACTTTAACCACGATGCTGCACAAATATGTTCTAAGGGTTTAATAAGATTAGGTTCAATAATCAAGTCTTTTTTGCCAGGAATGGAACAGAGAATAGCCTGTAATTTCTCCTGAGCTATTAACTGAAAACCTTGCAATTTCTTATCCAATGATGACGACTGCATCTTGTCTGATGTCACATTTATGCAGTTTCTCCAGAAGTGTTTGTGGGTTCTACTTCAAAGAAAGGCGAAAATATAATTTTTGTTGGGAATAGCTGACGGTGACAATTACGTTATTACGTACAATGAGAAGAAGGAAAATCATCGATAAATATGAATGAAAAAAGCAAAAACAAAACAACAAAAATTTTGTTTAGAACGAAAGAATAAAAGCGAAAGGTGTTTGTTGTTACTCGTATTTTTGTTTTCTTATTCATTCGTAATATTCGACAGTGATGGAAAATGTTGAGCTGAGATGGATCGAAAGTTACGAAAAACGTATGGAAGGAAATCATGGTACAATAATAGGTTCGTTCGTTTACTCAATAATTTGTACGAATTTGTACAAATTATTACAAAATGTTGTTCGTTTACCTAAAAGTCCAGTAAAAGAGAGTGAATTGAGAGAGCAGATTTGACAGTTGTGTTACTGAAATTTACTCAGTAAGAATTTTCTTGTATGTACCATCAGCTGATATTTAATCAGCTGTTTTGTTATGTTTTGTAAACAAACAAAAAATTGTTCTCAAGAAAATTGATTGTTTTGTGAATTTTATTTTGATTTTGTATCATTAAATACCAAAATGGATGAATGGATGAAGTATTTAAAAATAAGGTAATACAAGAGTAATTGGCGAACGATTTTTAGGTTCCAAATCCAAGCAAAAAAGTGTGCATCCCTAACATGTCTGGAACACCATCGGTTATGTCCACCCCCATATCAATTGCAACCCTTTTAAATGTTTGTGGGGGAACAAACAACATCAATTTTCCGCTTGTTATCCTTTTTTCTAATAAAAATGCTGTTTTTTAGTTTGCGCCAATTTGTTTGTTGTTTTAATCATCTGTGTCGAAACAATTTTTTTACTGGATGTTCTTCGTTTACTTTTTGCAGTTTTCTCTCTTGAGAAGGAAAAATTCGTATTTACTCTCTGCAAATTCTTACTGAGTAAATATTACTGAGAAAGTAAACGAACGAACCTAATTTCAAATTTACATCGATCAGAGTTATGGACATATACACAAAGGAAATGTCAATTCAAATGAAAGAACAAAAGGCGCATTTACACTGAGCGTGCTTTATCACAAATCGCCATTTAATCGTCGGTTAAGTTGACATTTTCTTGGAATATATTTCAAATAAATTACGATTTATGTAAAATCGTTGACTGAGATTTTATTTGACAAATGCCAATCTCGGTTATGCATAGAAAATTCATTTATAAACAACCAAGGAAAAATTTGAGATTTTGGAACTTCGTAGCGTATGTGTTTAGAAGTATTCCAAAAGTTCAGTCATTTTTGTGCTGACCACTGAATGAATTATGTGTTGTCACATACAGTGAACTCACGATACTGTGAACTAATTAATGACATATTTTAGAATTGGTTCACATTTTCGATTATACAAACTTATTTACCGCTAAGTCCCTGATTTATTAAATACTTTAATGTCAGTTTGAGAGTTGACATTATCGATAGTTCACTGTAGTTTTATTCCATACATTCTTTTTGAAATACATAATATATTTTAATTACATTTTTGTTGTAAATTAATTTATAAAAATAGCAATTAAATTCTTAGTATACGTCCCATTGTGATAGTCTTATCACCTGTTCAACTGACAGCGTCTAAACCATTTAATGTCGGAACGTTTTTGTGTTAATTTGCATTTATGCTTTGGCCCCCACATTTTAAACAAAACGAAGAAGGTAGAGTTGGGCAATCTAGTACACGTAGCGGATCGATCATTCTCGTTTCTTTTTTAAAAAGGAACTAGTTCCTTAATGTAGTTCCTTTGAACTATGTAATTACTTCATAATTAAGAATGAGAGAGGGAACAACGCTCGTCTGTACATGGCATTAGACTTTTCAATACAAAAAGTCGATTAATCGAAAGTCGATTTACTTATCCCTAATCATAAATTTGCCTAAACCTCATTCGTAAACAACACGGTTTCCATTTAGTCTCTATCCCACCTCATTCGTAAACTTTCGGTTATACCATTTTGAGTTCATCTTCATCGGCCATTTTGTCTTCTTCTCCCATTCGTTAGCAGGTGGAACTTTTTTCAATTTTTTCAGTCGTCGTTTTTATTTTAGCTCCGTTCCAAAACCTAAAAGAATCTACTAATTTTACAAGTTTTGCAACTTTTTACTCGAAAACCGTTCCTGAACCCATAAAACTGGTAAAGCATTGAATCAAATTTAAGAGAGCACAAAACAAAATGGCTTTCTCTTTGTAAACTTTTTGTTATGTTGATTTTGAAGTATTGCCATCTAATTTTGGCATATTTACTAGATTTGCGTTCCCGAACTTTTCAAATTATTTTGTACTCTGAGACTTGAAATGTTTCCCTTTTACTAGCTTTACTATTAAACAAGTGAAAAAGCGTTAAGTTCGGCCGGGCCGAACTTTGGATACCCTCCACCACAGGTATACTGACAGGTATTTGAAATGAAAAAGTGGACCGATATTTATAATTTTAAATAGTGCAATATGAACCCAATGTACAAAATTGCAGCGAATTCGGTTGAAAAGCACGCTCAAGAACCCCAAAATACCGAAATTGGGGGGTACCCTTATATGGGGGATATCCGAAAAAATTGACCTATATTTAAATTTTTTTGTGGAGAGATTTGGTACCTGCTAAGAACTCAAAATACTAAATTACAGCCAATTCGGTGAAAAATACGATAAAAACCCAAAAAATACTGAAAATTAGGAGGTACCGTTATATGGGGGCTACAAGAAAAAGTGGACCTATATTTATAATTTTTTGTGGATACATTTACTACAAATTCGCTTGAAAAAAGCGCTCAAGAACCCCAAAATACCGAAAATTGGGGGGTACCCTTATATGGGAGCTATGCCTAAACGTGGACCGATATATCCCATCTTCGAACTTGACCTGCCTGCAGACAAAAGACAACCCTATGCAAAATTTCAGCACCCTATCTCAATTCCTTCAGAAGATAGTGTGATTACAACAGACGGACGGACATGGCTAGATCGTCTTAGAATTTTACCCAGATCAAGAATATATATATATATACTTTATAGGGTCGGAAATGAATATTTCGATGAGTTACAAACGGAATGACAAAATTAATATACCCTCCATACTATGGTGGAGGGTATAAAAAGTACTGGAACAGACCATTTGTTGGCGAAGGTTTGCGTACGACGTCGCTTGAGTCTTGGCAGAACGACGATTAACAAGCGAATTTTATGAAGGCTGGAGTCTTGGAGGCTTCCCACTGTTCTTTTGAATCTCTCTCTCTCTCTCTCTTTTATCGTTCTTTTTGTTTTCCTTTTTTTCATAAAGTTCCTTTGGTACATATTGTTCCTTTACTCCATATAGTTCCTTTGCTCCATACAGTTCCTTTGCTTCAAATAGTTCAAAAAAGGAACTGGATCAGAGAAAGGAATTATATTAATTAAAGAACTGGAACTAGTTCCGTTCGTTCCTTTCTCGGAATAGTTCCAATGAACTAGTTCGTTCCGGAACTACCCAACTCTAGAAGAAGGAAAATGGTTCGCGTTAAAAATAGGTAAATATATAAATTAAAAACCTAGGATACATTTAAAAATAATATATCATTTACTTTCAGATATATCGTAGTTCGGATTATTCCCAAGAACACAAATCTCAACGTGCTGTATCTCAAAGAACAAGTGTTGGCCAAGTGTGTACTGTCCCATGTAGAAAAATATTACGGTGTATATGGTGTCGGACTATTGGAGCATGGCTTTCGTGTTAAGTACTGTAATGAAAGAACGAAAATAGCAATACTAAGATGTTCACATCATGCTTATAGATTTGTTACCAGTATATTACCACTACTCACAAGTGTGAGTATGCAGTGTAGCAGCAGATCAAATTGTTATTTGTTCCTAATAACTCTCATTTAATATTTTAGGTTGGTGATGTCCCTGCTAAGTTCAATACTATTTATACTGGCGCAACTATAATGCAATGTAATAAATTTATTATTAAACATCAGCAAACATATTTGGATCGCATGGTTGGACAAGTTGTTTCAGCCAAAGAACGACAGGAAATGATCAAAAGAGTCATGGAGTTCGATATAAGTTAGAAACGTTAAGAATTTTGAATTGATTTATTGTAGTATATATATTTTTTATTGTAAATATAGCTATACTTAAACACAATAGTCTATACTAAAATAATTGTTACAATTTGGTATAAAATTGAGTCGTAATTATCTACTATTTTATGTCGTTAAACTTCGACTAAATATTTACGCGATATTGACGTTCGTCCATTGAAGGTAATGTGCTTAATTTTATGTTTAATATCGTTTAGCGTCAATTTATGTTTCTTACTATAAACATTTAGATAAATTCCCAGAACAACAATAAGACCGGACCAAACATATCTGTAAAAAAAACGCGATTTAAAAAAGGTGCCATATTTGAGAATATTATAACTACTTACTGTATGGTAAAGGGTTTACTAAAGAATATAAAGGAAATTGCAATTGTGACAGCTTTACGGGCTGTTGTTACAGTGGCAGCAATAGGAGCTCCACTACTTTTTACCAGTGCCAATACAAAATGAATTCCCAAATATCCAGAAAGACTGAACAAAAATCCATAGAAGAATGCTTCTTTGGAGTGCTGTAATAAAACAATTGTGGATTATTTATTTTTTTCGCGTATATAATGTTCTACTCACCTGCAAACAGAAGGCAAAGTCACTAAAGAAATTACCCGTTACCATCATAATGACAAACAAATATATGAAACCCAATCCATATGAATACAATACAATTTCACTACTTGCTGCTTTATGTTCTCGCATTGCCTTTTCCTGTACATTGCCAATGGCGGCATCACACAGCAAGGCTCCCGATATCATTGCAACACCAAACAAATTGAAATTCGGTGACACCTGGGAATCGGCCAACGTAAACCATGCCAAACCAATACACATCGCCAAGGCTGCTGCGAAATCTAAAGGCCCGTAACGTTTTCCTTGTATCAGAATGCTACCGATCATTACCGGTATTAATTTACAGCACTTAAAAATAACTTGTGTGGGATAATTGAGATAACCCAAACTGGAGTTTGAAAGGCCCATTGTACCCAGAGTTAAAAAAACGAAGAAGGAAAATGGTTCGCGTTAAAAATAGGTAAATATATAAATTAAAAACCTAGGATACATTTAAAAATAATATATCATTTACTTTCAGATATATCGTAGTTCGGATTATTCCCAAGAACACAAATCTCAACGTGCTGTATCTCAAAGAACAAGTGTTGGCCAAGTGTGTACTGTCCCATGTAGAAAAATATTACGGTGTGTATGGTGTCGGACTATTGGAGCATGGCTTTCGTGTTAAGTACTGTAATGAAAGAACGAAAATAGCAATACTAAGATGTTCACATCATGCTTATAGATTTGTTACCAGTATATTACCACTACTCACAAGTGTGAGTATGCAGTGTAGCAGCAGATCAAATTGTTATTTGTTCCTAATAACTCTCATTTATTATTTTAGGTTGGTGATGTCCCTGCTAAGTTCAATACTATTTATACTGGCGCAACTATAATGCAATGTAATAAATTTATTATTAAACATCAGCAAACATATTTGGATCGCATGGTTGGACAAGTTGTTTCAGCCAAAGAACGACAGGAAATGATCAAAAGAGTCATGGAGTTCGATATAAGTTAGAAACGTTAAGAATTTTAAATTGATTTATTGTAGTATATATATATTTTTTAATTGTAAATATAGCTATACTTAAACACAATAGTCTACACTAAAATAATTGTTACAATTTGGTATAAAATTGAGTCGTAATTATCTACTATTTTATGTCGTTAAACTTCGACTAAATATTTACGCGATATTGACGTTCGTCCATTGAAGGTAATGTGCTTAATTTTATGTTTAATATCGTTTAGCGTCAATTTATGTTTCTTACTATAAACATTTAGATAAATTCCCAGAACAACAATAAGACCGGACCAAACATATCTGTAAAGAAAAAAACGCGATTTAAAAAAGGTGCCATATTTGAGAATATTATAACTACTTACTGTATGGTAAAGGGTTTACTAAAGAATATAAAGGAAATTGCAATTGTGACAGCTTTACGGGCTGTTGTTACAGTGGCAGCAATAGGAGCTCCACTACTTTTTACCAGTGCCAATACAAAATGAATTCCCAAATATCCAGAAAGACTGAACAAAAATCCATAGAAGAATGCTTCTTTGGAGTGCTGTAATGAAACAATTGTGGATTATTCATTTTTTTCGCGTATATAATGTTCTACTCACCTGCAAACAGAAGGCAAAGTCACTAAAGAAATTACCCGTTACCATCATAATGACAAACAAATATATGAAACCCAATCCATATGAATACAATACAATTTCACTACTTGCTGCTTTATGTTCTCGCATTGCCTTTTCCTGTACATTGCCAATGGCGGCATCACACAGCAAGGCTCCCGATATCATTGCAACACCAAACAAATTGAAATTCGGTGACACCTGGGAATCGGCCAACGTAAACCATGCCAAACCAATACACATCGCCAAGGCTGCTGCGAAATCTAAAGGCCCGTAACGTTTTCCTTGTATCAGAATGCTACCGATCATTACCGGTATTAATTTACAGCACTTAAAAATAACTTGTGTGGGATAATTGAGATAACCCAAACTGGAGTTTGAAAGGCCCATTGTACCCAGAGTTAAGGTAGCGAGAATGACGTAAGTTCTCATTGGTATTTTTCTTTGCGTAGCGGGCATACCACTACGTCTAGCTTCTACATGGCGTTCGATTACTCCAAAACATATATAATAACCGAACTGAATTAGTGTTAGGAACCATCCATACGATTTGAATTCCTCTTCTGTGAAAATTAATTCTTGCAAATATCCATAGAGTAAATATAGAACAAAAACTCCGGCACAACTTAGAAGGAATTGGGTTGTCTTATTGTAATTTGTTAATTCAAAACATAATATTCTCATTTCCGGAGGATCTTCGTCAATAGAAGATTTTCGTTGTTGGCCTTCACTGCCATTGGAATATTGGCCGCTTATTTGTATTACGTTGGGGTTACTCATTGTATAAGTGCTTGGCTTTATGATTCCTTTTCTAAAATATTACACATATCTTGCGGATTTTTTTATCACAGATCAAATTCAACTCGAGAGGATGGATGAACGTCATACAAAGTGAAGTGTAAACGTCAACAGAGATTGTTTACAATTGTTATTGCGCCGGTCTGATGGGAATAGGGTTCAGCAATTACCATTTCACTCTTGCTCAAGGCAAGAGTAAAGCGGACCCATCGGTAACAACGGACGACCGCTGTCAAAACAATAAAAATAAATATTTTTTTTTATAACTTTTAGGATTATTACATTTTTACATAATGTGTACATTTCTTTCTTTCATTTAACATTATTCCCTCTACTCTCCTTTTTTCTTTTTTTTATTGTATGCCATGGGCTTGCTAAATATGACGGCGTTCCTATGAATGTACTGGCGGCTGACTACTTTGACTCTGCACCGCTACTACATCATACGGTTCATTGTGTTCAATCGTTTTCCCTAAACGTCAAATCATAAATATGGCGTCCTAGAGAAAAAAGTATATTTCTTTTGACAACCGCAGTAAAATTCGTGACATGTTTTGCGTGAATCTTTAGAATTTGTATAAAAAATATAAATTATTTCATAAATAATTGAGATTTTAATAATAAACCGGCTATAATGGATGGTCCCCCACCGCCTAGAGGTAAAAATCAGGAATAAATAGTATTAGTGACAATGGAAAACCACACGCCTCTTCATTTCTATTTCGATAACTAAAACTCCCTTTTTCTTCCTTTGTAGATGCGAGCCTTCGCAATATTATAGACAAATTGGCAGAGTTCGTTGCCAGAAATGGACCGGAATTTGAAATGATCACCAAACAAAAACAACAAAATAATCCAAAATTTGAATTTTTATACGGAGGAGAGTATGCGGCGTATTATCAATATCGTGTTCAAGCCGAGCAAGTTTGTAAGCCTGATCAAATTAGTTCTTATTCAACCGGCAAATTAATAAATACCACATTGTCGGCATATTTCAGACTTAAAACAACAGGGACAAGGTCAACAAGGTGTTGGTCCAATGATGCATCCACAGCAACAAATGCAACAATACCAAAATCAACAGCAGCAATCGGCACATTTTACCCAAGGACCACCGCCAAATATGTTACATCACCAAGGCGGTGGACAAATGATGGATGGAAACAATTTCGCCATGAATCAACCACCTCCTAGTCATCAACTTTGGAATAGCGCACCGCCATCATCAGGGCCAATGAATGTTGGAATGCCGCCGCAACAGCATCCCCAACAACAACAACAGCAGCAGCAACAACAATCCGCACAGCAACACCAACGACAACAATCACAGCCACCCAATACCGGAAATATTGGTGGAAACCAACAGTCTTTGGCTATGACCATAACGGCACAAATAGAGGCGATCAACATGCAGCAAAATACGCTGCGAGAACAAATACGACAATCGGAAGCAAATTTAACTGCGCAACATACGGTAAATGTTTTTCCATATCCATCTCTTTTATATATCTATACATATTTATATAATCCATTTACGAAGATATTGCATCTTTTGCTTTGAGAAGAGATAGGTACAAATATGTTTTTATGTTAATATACTGTGGGATAATGCTTTGATGTATATGTGGAGTGAGAGGGTGAAATATAATATTTAGATATTTTATTTCATAGTTTTCTGTTTCGGAATTTGATATTGTTTGTTGATTAAATGCAAGAAAATGCAAAAAAGTTTCGAATTGTGGATATTCTATCCATATGTCTACTATGGTATTTTGCGTGCTTAGATTTATTATAAATATTGTTACGATCTTGGGTTTTACTAAATCCCGTGTAGACGTTGTTTTATTTCCCGATACAGTTCCTACCAAATAAAACGCGGGTTCGTTCTGATTACGATTATTACAATGATTTTATTCACACAACTTTACTTTGCACTTTACTTTACACGACGGTTTCAATTCGCGATCTGATTCACAACTAACTCACTGCCTTTCCATTCCCTCTATTTATATGAGCCCTGCCTGCCGCTACAGAAGTTTCTAGACGATCTGGTAACACCTAGATCACGAACAATCTACCAATGCAACAAACACATTGAGTAACAATAACAACAACAAACTTACTGAGTGAACAATAACAACAACAAACTTGAGTAAACAAACTTACAATAACAACAACACATATACAGGCGAGGGAATAACAATGAAAGAGGAATAACAACAACACATATACAGGCGAGGGAATAACAAAGAAAGAGGAATAACATTTAACAAGAATTGTACGACAATAACAAAATAGAAAATGAGAGAGGAAATGGAAGGATGTAGAAAAATCTATACAGTGGTTGTTGTTGTGAAGTTATTCAAATAAACTGCGTAGTAGAAATTTACGTTACAATTCAAATTCTTAAATTAACGGAATTCATCTAAATTAACTTAAATCTAAAGTTATATTCGTAACATTGCCCCCCGCTTAAGCCTGTTCGTCCCGAATAGGCACAGTTCCCGTTCCGTAGGGGGTCAGCCGCTCCAAATGTACAACTTTCATCTTCGACCTGGGACTGTCGCTCCTCTGGATGCGATAAACCACATCATTTATTTTCGTGACAATCTTGTAGGGTCCTTCCCAGTGCGTTTGCAATTTGGGGCATAGTCCTTTCTTTCGTTGTGGGTTGAACAATAGTACCAGTTGCCCTTCTTGGAACCCATCGGTATTTGCCGCTCGATCGTACCTTGCCTTCATGCGGTTGCTAACCATTTTTATTCGATGGCGAACTGCATCGTGGACTTTACTAAAAGAGCTTTGACTGTCTTCATCTTGGTTCACATCATTTGGGGTAGCACCGAATATCAAGTCGCCAGGTAGCTTTAATTCATTTCCGAACAGAACTTTGGCTGGGGTCCGGGATGTGGAATCATGAATGGCCGATCTGTAAGCCAGTAAAAACTTGGGAATATGCTCATCCCAGTCTCGTTGGCCACTGTCCACCACTTTCCGTAGATGCTCTTCCAGGGTGCGATTGAATCTTTCCACCATGCCATCTGATTGTGGATGTAGGGGCGTCGTTCTGGTTTTCTTGATTCCGTAGGAGTCACACATTTCCTTGAAGATCGCTGATTCAAAATTCCTACCTTGATCGGAATGAACCTCAGATGGAACACCATAGCGACAAATCCAATTTTTGCTGAACACATCCACAATTGTCCTGGCTTCTTGATTTGGGATAGCATAAACCTCCGGCCATTTACTGAAGTAATCCATGACCACTAAGACATACCGGTTCCCAGAGTCGCTTGTGGGGAACGGTCCAGCTACATCCATTGCGATTCTTTCAAAAGGGGCTCCTGAATTATACTGCTGCATGTAGCCTCGACTCTTCCGTGTTGGACCTTTAGCTTTTATGCACCTTTCACAATTGGCGATCCAGTCGGCAATGGATTTTTGACAGCCGACCCAGTAGAATCTCTGCTTTACCTTTTCAGCGGTCTTTGCTATGCCAAGATGTCCTCCACTTGGCCCATCGTGAAACTCCGACAAGACATCTCTTATTTTGGAGTCTGGGACGACGATCAAGTTCCGGTGAGATTTACCGTCCTCACTTTCCCATTTGCGATATAGGCAGCCATCTTTTATAAGTAGACTGTCCCACTGGGCCCAATAGGATTTTAAAAGAGGGCTTTCGGAGGTAATTTCTTTACGACTAGGTCGCTTGCCCGTTTCAATGGCCGAAATTACTTTGCCCAGAATGGGATCTCTTCGTTGTTCCGTCGACCAATCTTCACCCGACTCAAACTGCAATAGTCGGACATCAACGATATTCTCCTTATTCTCAGCCTTTGAGCAGTGCCTGTATTCTGCCTTGCATGGCCGACGAGACAGGGCATCAGCATTATCGTGTTTTCCGCCTTCTCTGTGCTCGATCCTGTTTAACGGTGACTCATTGGTGGACTGTTGAGCCATTCTTCTACCATCTTTCGTTAGAGGTGGTGACGATGACCTGGATCGTTTGCGCTTAGCTCTGCATTCGCGCGCAATATGACCTGCTTTATCGCAGTTGTAGCATCTAATCCTGCGCTTAGTCATCCCTACTGACTTTGTTTCTTCTATTACCCGCCTCATGGCGTCCTTGATCAAGTTGACGAGAGATTTGTGTTCGTAACATTCGGTCTCCAGTTGGCTAATCTTGTGGGTCTGGGGCTTAACAATCATTCTTGCCATCTCTTGGGCAAGGGCAAACGACACAGTTTCTGCAAATGACGCTTTTGGTGACGCATATGTTGCACATTTAATCTCAGGGTCACGTATGCCATTCACAAAGGTTTCGATTTTCATACGGTCCAGCAATGGGTGATTCTCTCCTGGATACGCCATTAGCACCAAACGTTCCACCTCAGCTGCGAAGTCTTGTAACGTCTCGTTTGCCCTCTGTACTCTTCCCCTTAATTCCATAAGGTAGATGTTTTGTTTATGTTCGCCACCGTACTTACGTTCCAGTGCAGCAATAACATCTTCATAGTTGTTCCTAGAAGCGACAGGAATACTCCGTATAACATCAGCAGCACTGCCCTTCAATGCCAGAAGTAGTGCAACCGCTTTGTCGCTGTCGTTCCACGTATTTCTAGAAGCCACTGTCTCGAACTGTAACTTGAAAACATTGAATGACGTAGAGCCGTCGAATACAGGAGGTTTGATTTTTAGTGCGTTATCAGGAACTCGCACCGGACCACCTTTAATTTCCAGTTCCGAAATTTTCTTCTCCAGATTCGTAAACCTGTGGTCGTGGGCCAGAAATTTCTCATCCACAGACAGAATCTTCTCGTCGACCGACTGCACTTTCTTATCCAACTCTTTAATTTGGACCTCCACGGTTTCCACTCTCCTTCCAATAACTTCTGTAATTTTCTCGAGTTTCTCGTTCATTATTCTCGAATTTTCGTCAAACATTCTACAATTCTCCGCCTTGAGTTCATCTAACTTTCTGGAATTCTCTTCGAACATTCGTCTCGAGTTTTCTTCTGACTTTCTGGAATTCTCTTCGAACATTCGTCTCGTGTTTCTGGAATTCTCTTCGAACATTTTAGCCAGCATTTCTCTGAAATCGTCACCCCTGGCAGCTACTGACGAGACTTCCCCACCGTTGGATTCGCCCATTTCCGATAAATCCACTTCATCCTTACTGTCAAACTCATATGTATCGATGTTCATACCACGGCGCTCGAACTCATCCAACAGACGTTTTTGTAGCTCAGCCTTGTTGCCAGTAGAGGACAATTCCAATTTATTCAGCTCCTTCTTCAAGTCTTCCACTCGTAGATCCTTAAACTTCATCGTAGTATTATCGTAATCTCACTTCCGACACCAATTGTTACGTTCTTGGGTTTTACTAAATCCCGTGTAGACGTTGTTTTATTTCCCGATACAGTTCGTACCAAATAAAACGCGGGTTCGTTCTGATTACGATTATTACAATGATTTTATTCACACAACTTTACTTTGCACTTTACTTTACACGACGGTTTCAATTCGCGATCTGATTCACAACTAACTCACTGCCTTTCCATTCCCTCTATTTATATGAGCCCTGCCTGCCGCTACAGAAGTTTCTAGACGATCTGGTAACACCTAGATCACGAACAATCTACCAATGCAACAGACACATTGAGTAACAATAACAACAACAAAATTACTGAGTGAACAATAACAACAACAAACTTGAGTAAACAAACTTACAATAACAACAACACATATACAGGCGAGGGAATAACAATGAAAGAGGAATAACAACAACACATATACAGGCGAGGGAATAACAAAGAAAGAGGAATAACATTTAACAAGAATTGTACGACAATAACAAAATAGAAAATGAGAGAGGAAATGGAAGGATGTAGAAAAATCTATACAGTGGTTGTTGTTGTGAAGTTATTCAAATAAACTGCGTAGTAGAAATTTACGTTACAATTCAAATTCTTAAATTAACGGAATTCATCTAAATTAACTTAAATCTAAAGTTATATTCGTAACAATATTTTAAAATAACTTGTTAAGAAACTGGCGTATTTTGCAGTTTCTGCTAAATGTTCCGCTTAATATTTTCACTGTAGAGGGCGTATCCATCGCAATTTTCCAATTCAAAATACGAAGAAGATGTGTTGGAAAACACATATCCTATCCCTCCGAATATACTACTTTACTTATATTTTTATTTACTTCTATTCTTGGACAGCAATAAGACAGATGTAAGACTGACTTCGAAGTATTTTCAATTTATCTCAAAAGTATTTGTCAGATTTAAAGTTACAATTATGGTCAAAGCTAACCCTTTTATTCGAATGTATACGGAAGTTAATCCGACCCAAATCATTTCAATGTTTTTCTCACTTTATTGCAAAGCAGCAATTATGTGTGGACAAAGCTAACCCTATTAATTGAATGTATACGGAAGCTAATTTTGACTCAATTTGATGGACTCGGGTTTTCCGAAAGCTAATTTAAACTAGTGATCATTAAAGGTCCAATTTTTTTTTCTGTGTCCTTGGGACTATTTTCGGTGTGTTAATATTTGACGTTATCGGAAGTTGCAGTAGAGTAACTTCGGGTAATGTGGACCATACGTCTAATGTGGACCACCCCCATATCTAAGAAAATGCTTGAAATATGTCAATGCCGCCTTGATAAATGTTTTCCTAATTAGTGAAAACAAACATCAAACTTGGTTTTTAATAAATAATTGCAATGTTGAAAATGTAGCTCAGATTGAATAAGTGTGATTTGAGAATTTTTTAGCACAACAGTCGAACGTTTTTGCAATCGGTGATTTTTAATTTTTATTTATTTTTGAAGCCGATAATTATTTTTAGATAAAAATATTCAATGTCGGGTAATGTGGACCACTATAAAGAAGTGGGACCTATCACAACCAATCCATAACCTACCTTTAACTTACTGATCCTCATTGTCAAGCCACTCAATTTAAAAAAAGAAAATGGTGGTCCATATTACCCGAAGTTACTCTACATATTTCTCAAATATTTATTAAAAATCATATATCTTTTATTATTTCTTTCAATATTTTTCGTCAAGCGTCAGATCAACTGTTGTTGCGAGTGGCCAACATTGCGCCCTATTTTCAATTTAGAGAGCGAAGTTTTAATTCTCGTGCTTTTTTTTTGTATATTCAGCTACTCCATTTAAAAACATATCGGATATGCATAACATATCTGCCTGTGCTTTGGTATATTATCAGCTTTTTCTTAAACTATCCTCGAAAATTGTGTGGAAAGTTCTCTCGTTGATAGGTATTTCATTGCATTCGATGTATAACGATAACGTCTTTGGTATTGTCTCAGCCTTGGTTGTACCGACCATGCTGATACCCTGATATCTAAATATACGAAAAGTTTGTTTGTGGTTTGGATGCTCATCGGGTTCTTGGGATATGAGTGAGATATTCCTACCAGTTTACATCAACTTAAGCCATTTTGATGATGGTTGTTATGTTTTAGTTATGATTATATAAAGGTTTTTGTGTTTCTCTCAATTCAGTTGAAATGCATTAAATAAATGTCTTCCAATAAAAACTGTATTTCTCAAATTACATTGCGATTTTAACTAGTCACTTATCAGAAATAACAAAATTTAAAAAAAAATCCTAAAAAAATGGCTGCTGCTGTGTTCACCGTCTTGTATGTAAAATATTTTGGCTGTTTGGTCATCGTTTCTTTTTTTTTCTATATTTGTTTAAATATCTTTCTTATGTATATATTTCCTGAAGTAACAAATCGGGGGATACAAACTATTCTTTAAGAGGGGGATGTATATTTTTCCGAATATAATCATATGCTCCTATATTTAATTTTATTTTTCTTTTTTACATACCATTAAATACATTATGAAATTTCTACATTTAAAATTTTACTTTACTTGTATATTTTTTATTAAAAAAACCAAACTCGAAAAATCCCAAAACTAAAAATCCATAATATCCGCTACAAAAACAAAACACATATAAAACTGTTTGAAATGCATTTGCATTTAAACAACAACATATGTCTCTGTGCAAAATATATTTGTTGCAATCCCCTATCAAATATGAAACTGAATTTTCGAAAAAATCAAACAAATACCATAAATATTGAAACCAACACACAATGGGACATATTTAGGCACTGGTGACACAACAAAAGAAACAAATTGAAGAAGCGATAGAGGAAGCACAAAATAAACAATTGGAAAAACAAGCCGAGGAACAAAATATCTCCCTTAAAGAATTTGATGGCATATTGCAGCCGATAATTGATGCCTGCACCAAGGATAGTATTTCTCAAGGTAAATATAAAAAAGAAACCATATCATCAAATAGTATTTATTTTGTTCCATTCTAAATTTCTCTAGTAGAAGTTAACTTTAAAAAAAAATATTTCTTTTATTGTTGTAATACCTATACAATATTTTTACATATATATTTAATTTTTCTGTTGGTTGGCAAATGAAGTAATATTTTTAAATGTTGCAATTTTAGGCAAAAACTGGATATTACAGCATTCATCCGACAGCGCTAAAAACAATGTCGTTTTACAATATCTTTTAAAGAAGTATGCGTGTTACTTATAAGTTTGATTTGAAACTAATTTTTATTGTATTTATAACTATTGTATACTATCGTATCTACTACTACTACCACTGTTGAATAACTATGTTATTGTTCTGAGACCGATCGAGGTTTATAAAACAAAACCGCTCACATCAAACTACTGCCTTATAATATGTTGTTCGTTCGCTGCATATGGAGAAGGACTTTTGCTTATTGTTGTTACTGGATGTTGTTACATGATGAGTTGTAGTATTTCATTTGTTTTATTTTGGACTTACGTACTAAAGAGATGACGGACTACTCTTACCTTAAAATAAACATGACATGACCATTTAGATATTAAAATGTATTTCAACGCCTACAACTCTGAAAGCAGACGAGCGAACAGAGCAAATCGAAAAACAACAACAACAAAAACATATTCTTTATTAATTTATTTTTAGGGCTTTGGCAGATGGTTCAACATTTCAGCAAAAATTGCATCTTATATATTTAATTAATGATATACTGCACCATTGGTAAGTATATATTTTGTTTTATTTGTTGTATACGTTATACGTTTCTAATATGTTATTGTTGCACTTTTAAATGTGAAAAGTGAAAATATGGCTTCATAATAGAATTCTAAACCGCTCCATTCACAACTGTTAAAACAAAATAAATGATATTATACACACTCGTTAAACAGTACTAGTTCCATATTTTCCAAGTACTCCCAAAAGCCATCGTCTGAATATAAAACTATATAAGAAATCAGTTGACAAGTCTCTAACCCACAAACGCAAAAAACATTTTCAATTCACATTTACAAGATAGCAACAAACAATAACTGTCCTTCAAAGGGATAATAATTTACAGTACGACAATTTAATTCCTTTTATTTGTTTACAATTTGCTGCAAGCTTTAAAGGCCTTTGTGCATGTCCAGCATTCCTAAAAAATGAAGCATTAATAATTATTGATTATTTTACAGTGTTCGGAAAAATGCCAATGATTTGAAGAATAGCTTAGAGAATGTGGTTATTCCAATGTTCTGTAGTGCCGATTTAAGTAAGTTTCTCAACCGAACTAACCTTACGAATATTCTCTAATTACACATATATATTTTCCCAAAAAAAAAAAATATAGTTGCCAATACCGATCAGCGGGCTAAACTAACAAAACTCTTATCTTTGTGGGAATCGAAAGCGAAATTTTTCGATGCATGCGTTATATCGAAACTACAATCACCGGATTCCTCAATGCAAGAGTATAAAACAAATTTGCAAAATTTACATCATGAAACGACAAGCAAATTTACTCAGGCTCTGAAAACGCAAATGGATAAGTATGATATTCTCAAATGGAGGAAAGCTCCTCTGGAAGCATTCATATAACACAAATTCATTCGTATAATAATACTATATATTTTTTTAGCTATAAAAAACAACATCAAATGTTTATACAACATGCTGCACAACAGATAACACAATTGGAACAACAAAAACAACAAATGGAACAGCAAATGTTGGCAAGTGTTATGCCAAATTCGGGAATAATGCCGTTAGGAAATCAGCAGCAGCAGCAAACACAAGCCAAAACTATGCCCACGTTAATGGGCCAAAAAATGGCAATGCCCCCTATGAATGACACGGATCCGTTTGGCAATTCAGCGGCACATACAAATACCAACAATGCTCAATGTTTTCCAAATGCCCCAGCAGCTGCAGCAAACAATTTCTTTATACCGGATTTATCAAAGCCACCACCGGGCTTTGTTAATCCTGCTGCCACCGCTGGGTCAGGTGTGGTGGTGGCCAGCAATCAACAAATTCCACCCCTAATGCAACAAACTCCTTACGCTCAAATGAATAGCAACATTCCGCAAAATCAAGCCATGATCAATGCTCCACCTAATTCCCTTAATCCTGGAGAAATCCTGAATAATGTCTCCAATTTAAATGTGGATCTTCGGAATGTTGCTGCCGCCCTGCAAATGGTACAACAACAACAACAGCCAACAAATGCTTATGATAATCAAACAATAACACCACATGCCATGGGCCCAGTTGATGATGGCCAACTATCGTCGAAAGAACCTGAAGAGGATCCCAAACCTTCGGCTGCATATTATGATTTACCAGCCGGCCTTATGGTGCCGCTAATACGTTTGGAGGACTACAATTATAAGCCCTTAGATCCGGAGGATATTCGTTTGCCACCACCAGCTCCACAAACGGAAAGATTGACAAATGCTCTGGCAGCTTTCTATTCATTACCCACACACGATAGGCCAAGAGATAAGTAAGTAAAAGTGGTTTTGAGCCGAATTGAAATTTAAGGTGATTTATGTATATGTCATTTTTTCTGTATTTCAGTGAGGGCTGGGAGAAATTGGGTCTCTACGAATATTACAAAGTCAAAAATGCTGCACGTAAACAAAAGGAAGAAGATATTCGAAATGGAGTTCGAGAAAAATCACGTTCACCAAGTCCAATTGTTTTGGAAAAACCAAAACCCAAAAAGACAAACAAACGGTGCTATAGGTAATTTAAAAATAGATACATATCTTTCGAAGAATCTGGCGTACAGTTGGTGAATTAATGCCGATATAAATATGTTTTTTTATAGATCCAAGAGTCGTAGCCGTTCTGCTTCGCCTCGTAAGTCGAGGACGCGTTCAAGATCACGCTCTCGTTCGCCAGTACGTGCCACACCGAATCGCAACGACAGAGGAGGAGGTGGAGGCGGACGTAATAATCGTTACAATAGAAGAAGCCGTTCGCCTAGACGTTCCCCTCCACGAGACCGAGAAAGGGAACGTGACCGTGACAGAGAAAATGATCGCAACACAAGACGTGAAAGAGAACGCTCAGTTACACCTCCAAGCTTTTTGTAAGTAGGCTGTTTTATAATTCTTGATGAATTCCTTCTTAACTCCAACTACCTTTTTAGAGGAAGTACTTTTGCAAAACCAAATGATTTCATTGACGAATCAAATAAAGGGCATCAAATGTTAATGAAAATGGGTTGGTCCGGCGCTGGTACCGGTCTAGGTACAAAAAATCAGGGTATTGATCAGCCCATATCCGGCGGTGAAGTAAGAGATCGAAAAGATTTATACAAAGTATGTTGATTCCTGCCATTGAAATTTTTATCATTTTTAATTCAATGTTTTTTTTTTTGTGTCCATTTGTAGGGTGTCGGTGTTAATATGAACGACCCATATGAAAACTTTCGCAAAAATAAAGGCGCCGCATTTGTTTTTCGTATGCGTACACGTGATGAGAAAAGCTAAAGACATTTATACAAAGTTATATTTAAGTGGCTAAGTTAATTACATATTTTTTTGTAAAAAAATTAATGAATTTTAATGCAAGTCAATCATCATTTTTCATTTCATCTTTTATAAAAGAGATTATGTGCTATAAAAAGATAATTTTTTGTTGTTGTGACATGAAATTAAGATCAACAAATATAGTTTGCATTTTGAAATTGTGTTTGTTTTTGTTATTATGAAATAGTAGAGTGCACAAATACAATTGGCTAGAGCAATATAACGTAGGAAATGGAACCAATATGAGGAAACTGCGGTGACATTCATTCATATAAAAAATATGTAGCTGGCTGGGTATATTAAAACAGTAAATCAGCGGGTAATATCAAAATACTCCAATACTATTGGATTTAAATTTAAATAAAAAAAATGTTTTAATCTAATGATACAATTAATCAAAACTATGATTTAGAGCTCAGAATTCCCCTATCCATATGTGTCTGAAACATAATCTGGAGGTCTGAAGTTGTAGCCAATAGGACTAGCTCATACTGATGATAAACATAATTTCCTTCCAATCCCCAGAAGGTTTTTGATATGGATTGGGTCATACTCTGCACATTTTTGGTAAGCCCCGTCTTGACCCGCTTTGGAATCGATTGACTTTTAAATTTATGCATTAAAAACTACGCTTCATACAAACATAACAAATATACATCTTTTTTATTAGGAATATATCAACAAAACCACATTCTACAAAGATTCAATTAAGCTTCTATACTCAATGCTGTGTTGGCAGCTTTAGCATTGACTTTTTCTAAAATTTGAACTAAACCTTTTCCGGGTCCACACTCAAATGTTCGCGGGAAATCAAGGCCCTGCTGACGTTCATACATTTGATGCATTGTCTGTTCCCATTTAACGGGGCGAACAATCTGCAATTTAAAACAAAGAATTTTATTTAATTAAAAAAAAAAAAACACAAAATATCGCGGAAATTACCTGTTTCGGTAGCTGTTTCAATATGTGCGGCACATGCCTATACGGCTTTCCATCAACATTGGAATAAACCCGTATAATTGGTTCCTGTAGGGGAATTTTCTTTAGGGCCTTTGCAAACGGTTCTATGGCATCTTCCATAAGTGGTGTGTGAAACGCTCCACTGACTGGCAATCGCTTGATTCGCCTTATTTTCAATGCCTTGGAATTTTTCTCTAAGAACTCTATGGCCTCGATATTACCCCCAACAACTTTACAGTGTGGAAACATATAATTCGATACACCACAATAGGGATTTTCAATACCCTTGTCAACGCACCATTGAACTGCTTTGGCACATGCGGCACCGATTTCCGTATCCGGTCCGTACAGAACCATTGCCATACCACCGGCTACACGATCACAGGCCACTTGCATAGCATTGGCACGAATCTGTACCAATTTCAGGGCCTTGTCGAATGGCAATACTCCGGCAAATACGAGCGCTGTTATTTCACCCAAACTGAAGCCAGCAGTTGCCACACACGTATCAATCGCCTTGGGGCGTTCCTCTTTCAGCTGCTCTAGGGCGGCAAGTGACGATACCATTACAGCATGTTGGGCATGTTCGGTGCGATTTAATTTATCCACTGGTCCTTCCAGACATAGTTTTAACAAATCATAACCCAATACTTCATTGGCCAAATCAAAGATACGCCTTGCTTCTGGGAAACGCATCAGTTTACTGGCCATGCCAACATACTGGGTACCCTGGCCGGGGAAAAGTATTATGGACGTTTCTTTGGGATCGATTTTCGGTCTCACTACCTCATCGGGTTCCAACATATTCTGTAACAATTTAGACTGGCCGACTGAATCAGTCGCCTCTTCGACTTTGGTCTCGGGAACTTTGCTGCTTTCATATCGTCTGTGTGACAAACGTTTCAAGCTGGAAATAGTTCTAGTACGTAATGGGTTCAAAAACATCTTGAATCTATGTGCGTCCAATGGACAGATTTGATTTTATCACCGGTCTCTTACAAAATTTCAACTATAAGTCCATGGCCATGACAAATCTTACGCCGTACAAACATGGTGTGGAAGAAAATAACAGATAAAGATATGATCAAAACAAAAGTTCCGTCAAAAGTAGGGGGTTAAGAATCGAAATTTTTTGTTTACAGCTGATTCGCAACTCAACATATGATTGTTTAATAGGCAATCTACCATGCATGGTACAATTATAAAAGGTAACAGCAAACCCCAGCTGATTTGATTCCAACGTAATACTAGTGTCAATATGAATTTGACAAATTATGTTTTTAATAATCACCCAATAGGAAAATTGGGATCGCATACAATTTGAAATTGTTCATTATTAAATGTGCTCCTGTATTCAATTTACTCAATCTGCCTGCTGGGAAAGTTTGAGGAAGCAAATCTTTCTTCAAGGAATAACTCGCTATTCCCAGCATTTTCATATGTGTTACACATATATGTGGCAATGGCTCAATTATAGGAAAGATGTGGAAGCGATAGAAATATAAATTTGATAGATTTTCATTCATGTTTTTCACTTTTTATTTTGAGGATTCGAAAATATTTCATTTTCAAAATAAAAATAATTTGATGAAAATTTGTTTGTTTACATTTATCTGTCAAATGAGTTGACACTAGTAGAACTTACAACAACAAATTTCCATGTGCTTGTTGTATCGTTTTTTGTACAACAACACTTGCTGTTACCTTCTATTATTATACCATGTTTACCATGGTACAATTATAAAAGGTAACAGCAAATCCCAGCTGATTTGATTCCAACGTAATACTAGTGTCAATATGAATTTAACAAATTATGTTTTTAAAAATCACCCAACAGGAAAATTGGGAACGCATACAATTTGAAATTGTTCATTATTAAATGTGCTCCAGTATTCAATTTACTCAATCTGTCTGCTGGGAAAGTTTCAGGAAGCAAATCGTTCGCTATTCCCAGCATTTTCATATGTGTTACACATATATGTGGCAATGGCTCAATTATAGGAAAGATGTGGAAGCGATAGAAATATAAATTTGAAAGATTTTCATTCATGTTTTTCAATTTTTATTTTGAGGATTCGAAAATATTTCATTTTCAAAATAAAAATAATTTCATGATAATTTGTTTGTAGAACTAGTAGAACTTACAACAACAAATTTCCATGTGGTTGTTGTATCGTTTTTTGTACAACAACACTTGCTGTTACCTTCTATTATTATACCATGGCAATTTACATACGTACTGATGTGGATTTACGAAATCCTGAAAATAAAAGTTCCGTTCCAGAACCTAAAAGATTCTACTCATTTTACATGTTTTGCAACATTTTACTCGAAAACCGTTCCTCAACCCACAAAACTCGTAAAACATTGACTCAAATTTAAGAGAGCACAAAACAAAATGGCTCTCTCTTTGTAAACTTTTTACTCGAGAAATTTGGTCGAGTAAAACTGGTAAATACGAATGCCTACTTCTGATTGGCTGTTATGTTGATTTTGAAGTATTACCATTAAATTTTGGCATATTTACTAGATTTGTGTTCCCGAACTTTTCAAATTATTTTGCACTCTGAGAGCAATTTTGAAATGTTTCCCTTTTACTAGATTTACTATTAAAAAGTACTGGAACAGACCAAAAATGAATTTATTTACACTGGCTTTGAATTCATTTCAAATGATTGTCAGCTATTATTTATACCCTTCACCACACTGTGGTACAGGGTATTATGTCTTTGTGCATATGTTTGTAACAGGCAAAAGGAAACGAGATAGACACATGGTTCCTTTTGAGAATATGCATAGAATCACTTTCTAAGTCGATTTATGCATGCATGTCCGTCTGTCTGTCCATGTTAAATTGTAAACAAACCGATTTAATGTAAACGGTCCCTATATATATTTCGATTTGCACGAAATTTCGTACAGCCTAATCATTTAGGTCTAGAATGATGTCTGCCAAGTTTCGTGAAAATCGGTCCAGATTTAGATATAGCTCCCATATATAGTTTCGTCCGATTTCATGTAAATGGTGCCCCAAAGTTTAGGATTGGGATATGTTGTTAGATTTGGTAATATATTCGGTACAACTTGGAACCGATAGAGTTGGAACACTGAATTTTGGAAATAAAATTACTGTTTGAGTGTAGGATTGGGTTATAGATGTACGTTTGGAAAATTGTTCATTTGGGTACCAAATAGTACTAAATTTCGATTTGCGTAAACCGATAGAGCTGGAATCCTGAAATATGGAATAAATATTAATGTCGGAGTTTAGGATTGGGGTATGTAAGAAGTTATGTAAATTCTAACTCATGTGCACTAAATAATACTAAATTTGGTACAATTTGAATTTGGGTGAAACAATCGGGCTGGAATCCTGAAATTGGGTTGTAGGATTGGGGTTTAGATGTAGGTTTGGAAATTTGTAAGTATGGGCACTAAATTTGGAGTAGGGTGAACAGATAGATTTGCAATCCTGAAATTTGGAATTAAGATTACTGATCCGATTCGGATGAAGTTTGGACAAGTCACTTATTTAGCCCAAGGACAAACCCTATTGAAATTGGGAAAAATCGGTTCAGATTTAGATATAGCTCCCATATATATTTTCGTCCGATTTAAGGTAAATGGGGGACCAAAGTCCCTATATATCTTTCGATTTGCACGAAATTTGGCACAGAGTACTAAATTAGGTCCAGAATGCATATATTATTAGTTCTTGGCGATTTTAATATGCCATATGTGAAGTGGCTTTCATTGCATAAAAACGAACTTTTGCAAACTCAACTCACTTATCTCATCTGTAAATTGGACCTCTATATGCCTTTGTAAGAGTCCTATTGATCTCGAGTTTACAATAGATACATTTTATGTTACTCTAAACAAATTTATTTCTGAATGTGTTCCTACTAGAAACACTGATAGACATCCATGTAATACATGCGAATTTTCAAGTATAAAAAACTCAAAAAATAAAATTTTTAGAAAATATAAAAAATCAGGCTAACTATTCTGTTGCTAGATCGAAATATACAATAGAATCCCGAAGGTTGTTTAATCTTTATCTTGACAAGATTAAGGATAATTTTAAATCCAATACAAAATCATTTTATAAATTTGTTAATCTAAAAAGAAAAGTTTCTTCTAAGCCTACAATTTTAAAATACAAAAAATTGTTCGAAAGTTTATTACTACCGTTATTTCACACAAAAGTCAACCCTTCGTTAAGTCCATATCAACATGGTTTTCGTAGTGGTCTTTTATTTGTTCAGCGTAAACAAACTGATACAATTTATACAGACTTTAGTAAAGCTTTTGATAGGGTTAACCATGAACTTCTACTTTATAAATTAAATCATACTGGCTTTAGTAAAAATTTGGTAAATTGGATTTCATCTTACTTACAAAATAGGACACAGCTAGTTTTGTTTGAGGGATGTCTTTAAAAATCGATTAATGTTCCATCAGGTGTTCCGCAAGGAAGTCACCTAGGCCCGATTCTGTTTCTATTGTTTGTAAATGATTTGCCAAATTTTGTATCGCATTCCAAATTGCTAATGTATGCAGATGATGTCAAGTTCTTCATTACCCATCATTCTGAAAAGCAAGCTGATTTATTCCAGCATGATTTAAATAGCCTATTTCAATGGTGCAGACTAAATTGTATGGCCTTGAATTTAAATAAATGTAAACGTATGTGTTTTTCTAGAAATTCTTCTTCGATAAGACATTACTATATTAATGGTTCGGTTTTATCAAATGTAGATTCTTTCGTTGATCTTGGTATTCTAATGGATCCAAAATTAAATTTTAACAATCCTCGGTGTCTTAGGATTTATAAAACGGTGGGCCAAAGAATTCAAGAATTCTTCTATATAACAAAACAACTATTTACGTCTCTTGTTAGACCTATTTTAGAATATGGCAAAGACATAAAAGTATAAAGATAGGACAATTGATACGTAAACAATTTTCAACAGATGGCTTTTCCTCTGTTGTTACGATATCATAACAACAGAGAGAACAATATTAAACGTTGTTAATGCTATATCTTAAGCTTATTAAATAAAAAAATATTTTTTGAGTACAGATCTCTGATTTTATTTACATTTTATACACACATTATCGCGTATTTACGTTTTAAATGTTAACATGCCCCTGTTATGCCTGATTCCCCCTGGATATTTTTTCATAAACTATTTTGTCAAAATGCATTTTGTCGAGTCTTTACGGTTTCTATGTCTTTGAATATGGTTCTGTTGTATGGGATCCCCAATATGCAATATATTCTGATAAAATCGAATTCGTGCAGAAACAAATTTTTACTTTTTGCACTGAGAGGATTACATTAGAATAGTCGTTTTGTGTTGCCATCTTATTCTAGTAGGTTAAAATTAATTATGTTGAATACTATGATGGTACTAAAAATATTAAATGGTAATATACCTTCGGATTTCCTAATTTCTTCTATTAGAATGAATCATGGTATAATAATAGAAGGTAACAGCAAGTGTTGTTGTACAAAAAAACGATACAACAACCACATCGAAATTTGTTGTTGTAAGTTCTACTAGTGTCAACTCATTTGACAGAAAAATGTAAAAAAACAAACAAATTATCGTCAAATTATGTTTATTTTGAAAATAAAATATTTTCGAATCCTCAAAATAAAAATTGAAAAACATGAATGAAAATCTATCAAATTTATATTTCTATCGCTTCCACATCTTTCTTATAATTGAGCCATTGCCTTATATATGTGTAACACATAAGAAAATGCTGGGAATGGCGAGTTATTCCTTGAAGAAAGATTTGCTTTCTCAAACTTTCCCAGCAGGCAGATTGAGTAACTTGAA